ATCACACGGGAATATGGCGAACGAATGCGGGAGGTCAGTCGAATGCAATCAGAGCTTCAAGAACTCATGCGGGAATGTCGTGATAGCAAAGGTCCGCAAACTTGCAATTGGTGGATACTAGGGAGAATGGCTGAGATACTTTCACCTGTTGAACCCGATATCTTTGGTGAAGTGGGACAACATTGGGCTCAATTCAAGACGAGACATATTCCTTTGCTTTGGGATAAAGCATTCGATCTACCATCTAAGAGAAATTGGCTCGTCTCTCGTAGTGTGGGAGACAGAGCGTTGATTGATCCTTATATCCAGAAATTACGGGATCTCTGGACTACCATTTTTGAGAATGAGCCAGAACTTCACCGTGAAGAAGCTGATATAGAAAATGGTCCATGGATTGTATTATTACCATTGCAAAAGGGAGCTTTAAGGACTGACCCAGTAAGGCATAAGATGTCGCCAGGTTTTTTGCAACCATATATCTTCTATGTACCTTATGCCACTCCCAAACCTGAACTTTCTCCAGAGTTGGAGAAGCAATTGGAAAGAATTCATCGACTTTTGAAAGCAAAAAGCGAACAAGGGGGTGTACTGAATCATGTTGGGATGGCAGCACTTCGACAAAATCTAGCGCCGTTCTTTTATCCTCGACTTCGTCGAATGTATGATCAAACACTCAGTGATAATAAAAAAGTTCGAGACAAGGCACTTAAAGCATTCGCTGACATTCTGGATCCTTGGCTAGCGGGATTTGAAGGAGTTGGAATCGAGATAAGGAGTTATAAGCCAGAGGATAAGCAAGCTCTCCTGAGATCAACTATACCAGCGACTCTCGTTGATGCACCTAATGCTGCAAAAGCTCCGGTATTGAGACAGCGCGATCCATCTGTTCTATATCAGGCTCATAGAAGATTGGACCCAGATTCGTTGAACACTCTCAACGCACAACTGAACAAGGATATTCCCGATGATGGTGATGTTACTGGTGCAGGATGGGACCAAAAGAAAAAGAAAACCTATGCGAGTCTGCTAGGTTCTCCGGCTTTGCAAAAGATAGAAGCAGAGTTAGATAAGATCGAGGATGAAATAAACGGCCTGAGAGCTGATGCGTCCTCCATTGCTCTCGCTGGTTTGCAGAAAGAATGGGGCCTCATCAAACAGAGGCTTGACGAGGAAGAGAGACGGACTGTGATCGGTGTCAAAGCTGCAGCAAATTCCAAATTGAAGGATAAAACCATCAAAGTATTACAAAGTGTAGATTTTGTCGACACAGATGTTGATACCGACAATCTTCCTGGTGTATTTTACCTCGCAACTGAGCCACCTTCGCCGATGTCCATTCATCCTACGAAGGTTGATACTCTTTCTCTTGTACCCAATCTAGATACTGGTATCCATCGCAATCGAGAAAAAAACTGGCAACAGTTCATCCTAGGCTATCCGCAAGCAGCGTCTCGCTACGACACGGGCGCGTTAAACTTTCAGTCCAAGGCCGAAAGAAGGGGTATTCAAAGAGCGGCTATTGAAATGGCCTTGAACTTTTTAGCTTCCAATTATGAACAACGACGCCCGGACGATCTATTCCGCCGCGTTGTGATTCCTTCGCCATGGCAGAAACCTCTACTAGATGTTCCAATATCAATGGAACTTGAACCGACCAAGCGACCCGTGGAATTGGACACGAAATACTACACCAAACTTATGGTTGAGTACACGAGATGGAAAGATGACGACTGGTATGATGCTCGTGAAAAAATCATTCAGACTACCCCGGGTTTCGTTCCGCCGCCGGCTAATTTCAATGGCCCTTTTACGATTCCATCAATGTTCGAATACCAAGACGCTGCTGCCAAATACTTGGGAAACTTGACTCCAACTTGGGATGCTTTGTTACATGCAGCCAATACCTACCCGAGGCCATTCCTGACGGCAGTTCTTTCACGTATTGAGAGAGGTGTAAGGTTTGAACCTGGTCAAGGATTCGATGCGCTTAACGAAGTAGCAAATGGTATGGAGGTGAAATTGGTCCCACAAGAACTCGGTGTTCTCCGAGAACTAACCGAACCATCTTGGAACTGTCATTGGCTGCCATATCCTCCGGTTGCAGATGCCAATGAAGATATGCCTAGACAGATTCTAGATGAGTTTGAAAGAGATATTGAAGCATTACCGGAACCTGAGAAACCTCCGTACTGGGTATCAGAGAAGGGTCCAAGTGAACCACCGATAGGCACTTATCCATTGAGCCAGAGAGATATTCGTACAGTCAACAAGTATGATCCCCGTGGCAAGACTACCGATTTTGTGCCCATGTTACAACTTCTCCAGCACATAAATGATCATCGGACTAGACAGAATTTGCCTCATTTCGACCGGGTTACAGCGAGGAGGCACTTGACGATAATGCATGAATATCATCACATACAGTATGTTTCATGCCACTTTATTTGATAGCAGAATAGCTAATGTGTGTAGTTTCGAAACAGGGCTTCAACCTGAACTTGAAGCTGAATTTGAGCTTGATCGTGTGGCAAGAGTTTCACTTACAGGTCATCCCGAAATGAAGTATATTGACGATCGACGTCGAGCATTTGCTGGCTATGGAATTGACTGGGATGAAGCAACCAACACCTTCAGCGTTCAATATAATGCGGCTGGATTCACGGGACCTCCGATTATCCAGCCTAATCTCTACAGTTTCATCGAAAAGGCGGCTTTCAAATTTGGCAGAGCAATCGCTATGTATACGCAAGAACTCACAATGGACGAAAAGCACTACACGCGGGAACTTAGCCTCGAAGTCGTCCACCAGAGTTACTCAGACACAATGAAACGCTTAGAAGGCAAAGAGCTATATCCTGGGGAGCCCAACGTACCTCCCGCGAGCCCCAACCCAAACAATATAACTCTAATTCGTATCGCGTCTGATCTCCATAAGGTCGCTCCTGACATCTTCACCGACCATGGTCTTAACCTCGAAACACTTCTCGACTCCTCTGTCCCCTATTCCACCCGTTTGCAATACTCCGCTCTGGTAATACAAACTCAAGTCATTGAAGAATTGAATAATAACTGGGAATCTCGTTTCCCCATTAAAGAAAATGTTTGGGGATTCGCCCGTGATAGATTGATCAATCCTGTACGCACTGTAGTTGCGGGCCGAACTTTCACAGAATATCATCAACCGCGTCAATATTTCAGTATGCGAAGATGGCCACCGTGCGAACAGAGTCCTGCTAGTCAACAAGTCATCAAGGTTAGTGGGCCGGTGGTACAGGTAAAGGCTGTCAAGGAACCGGCAATCAGAAAATCAAAGGAGAAGAAGATGAATTCGTTGAGGAAAAAGCTAGAGCCGGTACATATCGGAGGCGCACCACCTAATTTCCCATTCGGAGAAACGCCTTATCAACAGGCGTATCAGAGTTGGAGGATCACGGAGGATTTGAAAGATGGTAAGTTTCTATTCACCTTTGTCTCGTCTCGTGTTTTTCTTGGTGAATTTGATGTTGGACTGCAAATCAACCATGCTAACATTTCTATCACCCAGTTCCCGAGTTCAATCCTAAACCTAAACCAAAGAGTCTTCTCGACAAAGTTCTTCCTACCATTCTTCCCACATCACCGATAGACCGCTTTGCACTTCCCAGAATCCCCCCGTCCTTCCGTCCCAGAAGTATGCCTGTCGAGATTTTACGCCAAAAGACCATTGCCGCCGCTCAATCCATGGCTGGCCTACCTAGCCTCACTGAATACTATAGAGAAGACAATGAAGCAAGGGCAGTAAGAGATTACCGTCAATGGCAGAAAGAAAACGAAAGGATTAAAATGATTGAAGAACTGGCTAAGGGAAAAAGTTGGCAGAGTATGACAAGGGATGAAAGGGAGAGGTATGAAGGGGAATTGGCTGTTATAGATATGGAGGAGCAGCGGGCGCTACAGAATGCAGGAGGATGGAATATTGCTGGAGGTAAAGTAAAAGCAAAAAAGGGAAAGCGCGACTCTGATGGGGCCTTGGTATTGGAGACTGGTCATGGTGGGAAGAAAAGGAACCGAAGTGGGAGTGCGGGTGGGAAAGGGGGTAGAAAGAAGAGAGGCAGTAGACCGACACCGATTCAAACTGACACGTTAATGTCGGGAGCGTTGTGAGACACACATTAGTCTTGGGAGCTTTGAATAAATAAATTGCTGCATGGGATATTTGTTTATATGTTAAATAATAGTTCTGTTGATTTGGCGTACGTCCGAAAGTGCTTGAGACGAGTTCTGTGTATTGAAAATGAGGCAATGAGAAAGTACATGATTGGTATGAATTTTCAATATATAATGACCAGTAGTTTAATGCAGTGATGATTACACCAGTTTGAGCTTATATAGAACTTGGACCAAGGTGTAAATAGTGCACTCACAATAAATCAATCATGAACAACAGTTGCATGATTGTTCAATTGCAAACCATAGAAAAGCTGACGCAATCACCTATTGTATTATTCGCTTATGTATGAGGGGGTCAGTAGGCGAGTTAGAGTCGTCTAACAAGGTACCTAGGTAATCGTGGACAACCTTTCTCAAGTTGTAGACTTCAAGCAAGCCAACGGTCTACTCAACTAACAGGTTATCGGACTCATCAATGGTATTTTTATAATTTGTAGTAATAATTAACCTTCTATCTGAAAAGATCACAATAGCTGAAAAAGGATTGATTCATTGTCCGTATTCAAATGCAAATGGCCACCTGCACTCCCACATCTAGGAGAAAACCGCATTTTTGTGGCGTTGTGTAATAACTGCAGCCACAATTGAAGTGTGGAATTTGTGGCGCAATTTCCTGCAACACCCCGCCATTCGCCCAGGCATAGTAGTGATCGACATTTATATCCTGCTTTGAGATTTTGATGCATAATTACGTCAGAAGAGATTGGAGAGCTTAAGTTTATGTACAATTCTCTACGACTTTCATTCAACTAGTATTTTAAACTACTCTCTACTAGAACTTAAATATTACCATGGGTTTATTCCGAAGTAAAGACAAAACTCGCCTTGAACCTTCAGCGACACTTCCAGTTCCTCCAGACGATGAAAATAGGCTCTTGAACAATCGCAATAATGATTCTTTTAGAAGTAGCAACATCTCGAGCGCAGATACTCGGATAAATCAAGTTCAAAATCCAAATCCCGGAACCACAACGACAACTACAACGACAACTACCACTAGTGAGTATCTAAAACTAGACCTATTCAATGACTAAGAAAAAACTGACATGGAGAAGCGACCACAACAGTCCGTAATGATGGCTCAACTCAAACTTACACTCACCCATATGACCCCTCAATCGACCCTCCTCCTGCATCCACAACTACCTACCCATCGAATGAGCCACCTGTCCCACCAATTGGAACTCCTCAGCCTACTCAAACACCAGTACCTTCAGAAACAGAACATGCCCTTCGAAGAACAAGTACTGGTGGGGGTCGTGTAATTCCCGAACGTTCACCACTTCGAAACTCCAATCCCGTTCCACCTCTCGTGATAGACCATACTATGGACCCGAATTTCTCCAATCCCTCAAACATCGGCACCAATACTAGCACCACAAACGCTCAAATGAATTCACAGGCCAACCATGATATTCACGATCAGAACCTGACGTCCAACGCAAACACAACCAATCCACCAAGAATGCCAATCAACGAACAACAAACGCCAAATAGTCCCACAAAACCTAACGTAAATTTCTCCCGTCCAGGAGGCAAACGAGAGAGTATTGCGAATGCTGCCAGAGGTATTCATGGAGCTGGAGAAGCACTTCGGGGAAGTGTAAATTCTGCAATTGCAGGAGGACTTCGGGATCAAAAGGATCTCGAACAGAATCGAGAGATTAAAGAGCAGGGAATGAGGGAGTTTACGAATAGTGGATTTAGAGAGAAGGCCGGAAATAGGCTGAGGAGGAGAAGTGGAGGGATCGCGAATGGGAATCAGGCTGGAGTTGTGGGAGGGAGAGTTTGAGAGAATGGTGTGCTTGATGAGAAGGACTGTGGATATAATGTTGCTGTAATATGAATGGTAAGTTTTTATTGTATCTATGGATTGGCGTTAAGGTTCTGGGTCGTTGGATATCGGTGCGTATGAAAGGTATGCATCGAAAAACATGATATCCACTGTTTTAGTCCCTTTTAAGAATTAAAAATATCTGAATTTATCAATCTATATTGACTCGGTGAATATGCTTCTGCGATTTTGAGAATATCCTACATCTATTTCTAATATCGAGCTTTAGGTTTATATATTTACTTGCGTTATTGCGGTTCATTTCCAAGGGCTACTCACACTTCACAGTTTTTCATTTGTTAAAATCAGTATACAAAACATTTCACGCGTTAAAAGGTATTTTTGAGGGAAATTGTGCATTTATATTACTTACCGAAACCAGACGGTGCCTTATCTGATCAAAGCACTTGCCATTTTTTTCGGGGGTTTTTATCGGGTTTATTCTTATTTAGAAGGAATGAAAAATAAAGGGGAAAAAGAAAACTCGGGACTTACTTATGAACTGCTGTCTTTCTTCGGTACTCTAACCCCACGTTCCCATTCTCCCATCTTCGCAGCCCACTCATCCGCCTTCGCTTTGAGCATCTTCTTCTTGTGTTGCCACTGCTTCTCCTCGGATCCCGCAAAAATCTTATTCAAATCTCCAGGACCCATTCCCTGAGCCTTTGCGCAAGGTGGACAGGGATAGGGTTGAAAGAGAGGTTGAAAAAGAACTTGAGGACAGGCGACTCGAGCTGTGAAAGTGAATTCGTGAGAAGTGGTCTGGGTCTGCTGTGCTTGAGACGATCGAAGAGTCAATCGTCGAGCCAGCTTTCCCAAAGTCTGTCCCACACCTTTGAGCGCGGAGCTGGCTGAGTGTTGAAGCTGTGAGCTAGCATTCGAGATTGTGGAGCTGGAGGTGGAGGGTCGGCTGTCCTGATTCCGTACGCAGAGGTCTGAGTGATGGGTGAAGGTTGTGACAATGTGGCCACAATGATTGTGGAAAGTTTGTGTTGCTTGGCAGCTGGAAGTGGTGACTTCTTTTGCTGACATGTTGAGATTGGTTTCTTCGGTTTGTGTTTTGTGTTAGATGTTCTAAAATCTAGAATCTTCTGGTTTTTATGAAATGAAGACATAGCGGCAGGATCCAGCTATTTATATTCATTATGAGGCGTTGTTCTGAGAAGAAGGTTTGAAGTAACAGTGTTGCTCGTGGAAAAGAGAACAGGTACTCGACTCTGATGATACAAAAACTATTGCAGAACAATAACGATCGTGAGTTGTACTGTTTACAGACGATTCGAATCGGGCTGAGTCTCTTCGCCATTAATTAGCCGTCTTTCCTTTGAAAATTAAAGGGAGATATCAATATGATTCGATGATATAGAAACACGGGCGAGATTTGGAATTCGAAAATCATGAGATGAAGACAATCTACAGTTAGAACGATCCATTCAGCCGATTTGGCAGAAGATCTTTGTGGGGAAGCGGATGTTAGACCACATGGCTTATACAACACCAGTAGACGAACAAATACAAGGCAACATGATTTCGATACCATAAGACATCCACATCACATAGCTTTGACGTTCTACTCGGCCAACTTTCTAATTCCATGATCTATTTCAAAAAGATACTGAAAGGAAAGCCTGCATATAACTACTATTATACAATCACGAAAATTACTCACATTTTTAATATACATATTATGTTCAAAAAGAAAAATTGATTTTATTACTCTTCCCACTTGGGAATTCTTCATACCAAACTAAAGAAAATGACTTTAGGAAAGACAATTAAGAAATAGCTATCTATATATCTCTAATATAGAAAGTGACTCAAGAAAAGTGACTAAAGGAGTGACTGTAGGAAATTGACTCGAAATCGATAAAAGGAGTGTCTTTAGGAAATATAAGAAACAATAAAATGACAGTCCTATACAAAACGACTGTACTAATAATTCCCCAGTACTGGTCCACTCTCCAGGGACATCCACCCTCAATTCCTCTCCCTCTCTCGGCACCGGAACCCTAACGTTCTTTCTCGCATAACCGTAGCCGTACTCTGGATCTCTAAGAAAATCTTTGAGACGATCTTCTTCTTCCCCTAATCCTTTAGCTCTAAGATTCTCTGCGTAATATTTTAAAACTTACCAAGCCTTTCCTTTCTGAGTTCTTGCTTTGCTCGAATCTCCTCTCTAATTCTTTCTCGGTTTTCTCGTTCTTCTTCCATCCTCCTTAATTTCTCAGCACGTGTGCCACTAGAGGATGAGTATGAGGATGAAGAAGATTCTGGTTGATATACTGGCCGTGTGGGAGGAGGAGATGGTGATCGTCCTCTGGGGCTGTAGTATTGATATTGGGGTGGATCAGGAACATGAGGTCTGCGATACTCTTCTCTATCTCTGCGATAATCTTTTCTCTCAGGGGAAGTAGCTCTGCGGCTATAGTGAGATGGTTGAGGTTCATCATACTGGGTAGCTCGAGCAGCTCGCTCGGCTCGCTTTCGGGCACGATATTCTGCAGTTGGATCTGGATGAGGAACTGTTAGTCTGCGGTACTCTTCTCTTTCATAAGTAGTTTGTGGTCTATGATCATCCCTATAATATTTGGAGCTCGATTGCCGATAAACAGGCTCAGGAGATGGAGATCTCGCACGAGATCTCTCTTCATGTCTGTAATCATAATATGGTTTCTGATAAGCTTCATACTCCTCAATCTCAGGGTCAGATTCAAAGTCAGATTCAGATTCAGATTCAGATTCAGGTTCTAAAGCAAGAGCAGCTAGCTTGTAGAAAGTTTGGGGGCTAATTCTCTCGTCTTCGATCGATGGAGGTGGCTTTTCGCCGTTGTCGGTGTTGTATACCGGAGCTTGGGCTTTATACGACATGATGCCTCACTTTTGCTTGCTAGTATCTGTAAATAGATGTAAAATTGATGAAATATTGGGAATGGTTCGCGAGCTCGTTGCTGTGATATGTGTATCGGGAGATAGTGAAAGATGTAGAGGAAGACAAATAGGGGGAATGAAAAGCTTAAATGCATGCCTGTCGTAAGTTGTTTCAGTGTTGTCAACCAACATTAAGATTCGAGACAAAGAATCACCACGGATGTTGGTCCAAAATAGAATTGTGGAAGTAAAAGAATAAAGGAAGCAAAGTGTAAGAGACAAAGAAAAACATCAAAAAGTTAGTTTTCCACAACCACCTGAATGCTCAACCAATTCACCAAGCAAGCATCTTCATCTTCCACAGGGAAGTATCTCAGGTCGCACGAAGGTTTAAAGTGTACTACTGAACCTCTTATATTGAAATGTATTGTATTAGACTAAATTATCGGGTATCATTAATGTATTAAAAGTGTTCTTTCCAATTCTACCAACAGAAGAGGGCTTTTCCGAGTCCATCCATCCAACCATCCTATTCATCCATAGCTCTTTTGTTTCCAAACCCATTGCTCCACTTGCGAAACCCAGCATATCATACAAAATATATTCCCTCACCGCTCCGTTGTTAAGGTGAAGTTCTTCAACTCACAAGTTTTTCTTCTTTGCATTAGATAGGACTGTAACACCGTTTACAGCCAAAATAGCCACCTCACAGCCCCCATCGTACCTCTTCCAATCCCCATAACAACCCTGCACAACACAACCATAAACCAAACATACCACATTACTCCCACCAACGCCCATTCCACCAGAACCCACCCTCCTCTTCTCACCCATCTAAATCTTCTCCTCCTTCTCCGTATCATCTTATCCATGCTAGCCGTCAACTTGTTGACTTCCAATATCTGACTAGTGACAAGATCTTTGGAGACCTCATCCGCTTCATCCGCTGCCTTTCTTGCCATTGGAGTTAAATTATCCACGAGACGACTATGAAGAGCGCCCATTTCGTTCAGAAGCGTTTGAATAGTATTCATGGAGAAGTTTTCTTGAGATTTTTGCCATAATTGTGCTGAAAGTTGGATGTCATCCCTAATAATGTCTGCTGCTAATATATGCTGTTGTGATCTTGGGACCAGAGAAAGAGACTTATTAGTGAGAGAAACAATGCCTTTGTAGCAATTCCCCTGCGCAGTTCGAAAGTCTACTAGTTCCGCGGCTTGACGTGTGAGGTACATTGACTTGACGCCAGATGAGTAGAGACGTGTTTTAACGTATGCAATGTCTCGTCTTGTCAAGGGACCACGATGAGTTGATACCCCGCTATCAGAGTGACTCCAACGACGATTTATATCAAGTGAGGGGCGTCTATTGCCATTCGCTGTGATGTGTGACAGGCCAGTTACTGGTATTGTATCAACCCTGCCAGGATATCCGAGTATGGCATTCAACCGAGCGTCCGCGTTAAGAACACCTCGAGCATAACCTCCTTTGCGAGCTGAATTGTCAGAGGCATCAGAATCGTGTCGGTTTCCTCCTTCTGGAGATGATGCCGGTGAAACGCCGTCTATTTCGATTCTTGGAGGGGGTTCGAGTTTTGAACTAGATGGATTTCCGACATCCGAAGGTTCTGCTTCAACGACTGCTTCTGCTTTACGACTTTGTGTGGACCTTCCGCGATTTTCTAAAGGCGACTTAAATGAAGGCATGTCATTGAGATAAGTTGGAATCGATTTATCATGTGGTACTTCCACATCTGCTGGTCTCGAATCATACCTTTCCAGAAGAAGTGCCTTTTCGTTTTCGCGCACCGGTGTGCGGAAATCTTCTATGTCAGATTCATCGGTTGAAGCAGTAGAATTGTTCCAATCCTTTTTCCATAAAAATTCGCTAACCCTAGCAACAGGTCCACGAGAGCCCTTGAACAACCCTCGGATGCCAGATGGTTCGTCACCTTTGCCCCTCCGTAGGCTTGTCTGTTTCTTTAAAGACTTTGCACTTTCATCTGTGTCTCTCGACGCGAGTTTCTTCGTGGGGCTCATGGACCGATTGCGGCCATTGAGAGCTTCAGAAATGTGTTCTCTAGGGTCAATTCTTGAATCTATGGAACCAATAGAGTCTATCGATACACGAGATCTATCTGGTTCGTATTCACCACTGCGGTCTTTGCTGTGCTCACGGAATTGATTAATCTTGGACCTGACTCGTGATAAGGCCCGTTTTCTGTTTGGCGATGACCGGCGACTACGAGGTGATGAGAGGTCTAGTCCAATACTAGGAACAAAATTAGACAGCTTCGAGGCCCGTATTTGTGGGGAATTGGGAGCAGTAGTATCAAGGCCATCCAAAGAGTTTCGAGGACTAACGCCTGGTACTTCGAGGCTTGGTCGTCCCGATGGGGTAGATATGAAAGGATGTCTTTTCTTGATAGGAGAATCTTTATTGATACCCTTCAGGTCCGTTCTTCTTTGATGCAAACTTATACTTGAATCCGATTTTTCCCCACTGTTGAGTACAGGGAGAGTTGGCGTTTCAATATCTGTAACGGAAACCTGTTTATCCAGCTTGTTGGGCGTCATCCAATTAGAATCGCCAGATTCCTTCGCAAGCATTTCTAACATCTGTTTTTCAAGAATGTCTTTACCGTGATCGTCTTGGCTTTCGTTCGTCCCACTACGTCTCCGTTTTGAAAACCTTTTTATGTGTTCACTGTCGGAGGAATCGGAACTAGATCTACTCCTAGATCGTAGAAAGCGGGAACGCTCGCGGCTTACACTGTGGCTGCCATGTTGCGCATGAGTTGCGTCATGTAGTTTGTGCCGAACCTTGGAGGCTTTACTTTCCAGATGCTTATCTGAATCAACCTTAGAAGATCTGAACTCTGGAAGCTTAGTGTCAATACGAAGGTCGACAGCCGAATTCGATTTCTTATGATGGGAGCGATCTGGCGATTTAAGCATGTCAAAGTCGTCGGGCTTGCGTGGGATAGATTGCCTAGGCTCAGGATTTCGAGGAAATATTGGTCTCCCATTTCGATCTTCAATCAGCGTCTTATTGTCACCCTGTTCCATCCAGAAAATGTCTGCAAGCATATCTGCAGGACTAGTAGCCCAGTCGATTCTGGGTCTTGCCAATTTAAGAGCGCTTTGATTCTTACTCCCCGCCGACTGAGGTGATGTATGGGGCGAATTGCCTTCTTCTATAGCTTTTGAGAATGGCGGTAGTGCTACATGATTTCCGTTGACAAAACTGTCACTTAAAGCAGCTTTCGAAACTTCGTCAACCCACCATGAAACCTTGTGAACATTTCCGAATTCTTGTGCCTCTCCATCAATGGAAATCCGAGCTCGAGCACGCACTTTTCTATTCCTGATGTACTGCAAAGGGTTATATTGCCTGCCAAATATGCGATGAGGTTGTTCAGACGCCGAGCCTGGACTGCTGTGCTGATTCTTCTCCACAGATCCGGCCTTCAATGGAGGGACATATTGTAACAATCGACGGTATTGGGCCATGAGCTCAATTGCCTTTTTAGCCTTTTCTGCTCTTGCCAATGTAGATGAAGAGAATTGATACTGGTAGGCAGTTTCGGATGCATCTAAATTTATTGGTAGAGGGCCAATTTTTATTCCCGATGAAAGGCGCGGAGAACCTGTGAGTGCCCTATCAATTCTGTCAGGCTTTGGTGAGATGTTTCTGGACACTCTCCTTTGCTGCTGTAAATGGTGACGTAGACTACCTCCTGCCATCTCATCCCTAAACCCTACAGCATTCGAGGGCAATGGTGTAGAAGCATTACGTCTCGATGCGATTCTTCTACTTTCACTAAGATTCAGGGCCAGATTGACGATCTGGGCAGAATCAACATCAAGCCCGCTTGTAACAGACTTTTCGGACGCATTTGTATCTCGCCCATGATCACTGTGCAGCGTCGTGTTTTCATCAACTATATCTTCCTCTTCTATGTCCTGGGCCGTGGGAGCGCTCGCCACATTGGAAGCCAGGGGACTTCCTGCTATAGTGCCATTACGCGATTGTCTCTTGCTCTGTTTTTTGTCCGCTGATTTACCTTTTACATCGTGAAGAAATCCCCGATTGCGAGGTTGTTGTTCTGTCGTGGCCGTAGATAAGCTCTCTGCATTGCGATGGAATAGAGAATTTGATAATAAAAATCCTCCACTACTTCGACTCTTGTTGTGGACCCTATGGTTGGTTCTCCCGTCTTTTTTACTTCTGTCCTCTATGCCTCCATCCAATCCACCCTGTTGTTCACTGCCTTCTTCGTTCGAGGCACTTGTCGCAAAGCTATTTCGATTACTAACTGCCGTGCTTGATTCGCCCGTCTCGCTGCTGTCATTACTATACCGTTGAGTTGAACTCGAATATGTGCTTGAAGTCGTTCGGCGTTCGATCGGTGAAGTGCTAGAACTATTTCTTGTCGTGGCGTCGAGAGGAGGATAAGATGTCATGTTTTTCTCCCGGCCTAGCAATCCGTAGGTATATGCAGTAGCATTCAAGTTATGAGAATAATTGCTATCGCATGTTGGAAAAGAGGAAGTAGAGGAGGTTGCCCGATAGCTGTGTTATTTGAAAGTTGTACTTTCTGTTTTACAATCAGCAGATTAAGCTTTCACATGCCGGGAGAGATGATGATCCACAGCCATAGTGTGTACATTCGGTACGGTAGTTCTGACGCGAATTTGCTTTTACTGTTTCTGAAACCCAACCATACCAAAAAAGTCATAAAGAGACCCTGTATTTAAGCCCTTTCAGGCCCTGGGTACCTATCACATGATCAGTCATCAAAAAGCATATAAAATAAATAAGTTTCACAAAGTCACGAAGCAAGTCACAGAAAATCATAAGAAGCCACACAGATTTGTGTTTAACATTCATGATGATAAAAGAAAGATTGGCTAGTCTAATATTCACAGGTATAACCACAGTAATAAACCCCCAAATGCAGGTTGAAACTCCTTGTCCAAGCCATGAACGCCATACTTTTCTCAGCTACATTGACCACCATTATTCTCTCACTCTCTTGGAGCTGCTTTTCCAGACTTCTCAATCTTTCTCCTCTTGGCTCTTAATGCCTCTGCCTCTGCATCTTTCTTTTTATTACTATAAACCATCTTCTCTAGAATCTTCCTCTTCTTTCTGCTCATCATCATCTTAGATCTCTCCAACTCCTCGTCTTCTTCTTTCGCCTTCTTGGCGGCCTTCTTCTTGGCATCCGTCTTAGCTTTAACTCTTGGGTCAACTTCCTTTTCTTGCAAGGCCACGCCAGATAACTCAGCCTCAAGCTCTCGTTGACGTTGAAGAGCAGTGGTATCTTCTTCATCTTCGCTATCTTCGGCTTCAGAAAATCCACCAAAAGACTCATCGGCCTTATCAGGACCCTCATCTGATTCATCATCAGACCCAGCAACATCCATACCCTCAGCAGTCTCATCGACATCCATAGCTGTAACCAGATCCTGTTTCTTAACAGCTTCCTCTTTATCGGAGACATCTGCCTCATCTTCGCTACCGCTATCCATTTCGAGTTCCTCGTCCTCCCTTTCTTGATCTTCAAGTGGGGCAGATGGATCATACTGTCCACGTACTTTCTTGACAAAGGGACTCAAATGTGGAGGCAGTTGTGCACCAGGTGCATATAGATCTGGTCTTTTGAGCTCCTCATCGTTGATACAATCCCAAATCCATTGTGGTTGAATATAAATGCGACCAGGAACTCGAGCTCCGGGCCTCAAGCGTTGTGCTGTTTGGTTGTCTTCCTTGACTTCCTCATCTTCCTCAGGTTGGACTTGTACGGGTGGGCGATCAACCACTTGGTGGGTAATCGATGGGTCTGATTCATTATGAGTGAAAGCACCCTCTCCAAGGACTGCATCCCAGCCAATACGCTTGCAGCCAAATGCTCGAAGAATGAACTCGAGAGGCTGGCGAGGAGTCTCTCTTGATAAAAAGAAAGTAAACTTTGAGAACAAAGTCGATGGATCTGTGGCAGAATAAGAAGGTTGCATAAGTATATCACCACCTGGTGCGGCTGGCTCGAATTTATCAATGGTCTCAGTTGCTTGCTCCTCATCTTCGCCATCAGGTGAAGTTTTGGTTGTCTCCTCGGCCTCCTTCTCTGGTGCATTGAGTTGAAGCATCAGTTTGTCAATCTCTGCTTGGAGTTTAGGATCGGGCTTTGCATCGCCATTGGTGATCTGCTTTGGTTGCTCAATAGCACCAATACCATTTCCTTCCAACGAGAAGGCTCCTAGACCCGCATCTTGATCATCTCTAGCCGCATCGAACTTTGGTGGGTATACCAATCCAACAGAAGTGTAGAGGCGGAAATTGACGAATCCTAGCAAAGTCTGGTAGAACTCGACGAAGGTACCCATGATTCGGAAGTCCACATCACCAGTGACTCTTTGGTTGAATCTATAAGGCACTAACCACAAAATATCTTGTCCTTGTATCGTTGCCTGGTAGTAAATTCCTTTGATAGACAAGAATGACTTGCGCAAGCTATTTGAGACGATTAAATAATGTTCGAACTCCAAGCATAACTTCTCGCATCTCGCAATCATCTTTGCAGGAACAGTCGAGGTCGAGGGTAAGTTTGCAAATAAGAAAAGCATTGACAAACAATCGTCAAGATCTCGTAGCGCATCGATGAATGTAGGATATCTTTCCCGGATGATGTGATCCAAATTGTATTTAGTCTTTCCAGTCTTCTCCGGTCTTGATGCATTGCGTTCAAGTCTCGCAGCGTCGCTTGCATCTCCTCGTCCTAAAGCTTTCGAGATTTTCTTCTCTAAAGCTTTCTGCCCACGGAAAGCATCAACTATCTTCTCGTGCAATAGCCATTGGATATCTTTTGTGTAGTAAAAGGTGGTAGAATGTGTCGAGGATTTCGATGCCTTCTTCTTATTTCTTGGTTCTCGAGGATAAATTCCTTTCCAGATACATAACTTACGAAAGTCAGGTAGACTGTTTAAATCAAAGAATTAGTACTATTATCAAACATACAAGTAGAAGTGAAGCAACAATGCGACTGAAGGAATTGGGGAAAGGACTTTTCCAATACTACAATGTATATGAATATGTACTTACGAAATTTGTAATTTTCTGACTGCCTGAGTTCTAGTAATGAAGTTCTTGGCTTGACCAGAAGTTCCCTTCTTCTTAATTCTTCCCATTGTTGCTGTTGCGATTGAGATCGAGATGAGAATGGAGATAGTATCGTGGGGGGGTTCTCAGTCGTGCTGATAAAAAAGTTCCCAGAGAACTTTTTTTTTATTTCTCCAAAGCTTCTCAATCCGCTGATTAACAGAAAATTTCTTTTCTCATTGGATGGACCATCTCACCGCCTTACACGGACCACCCGACCCTAGAACGACAGAACATCAAAACAAATCTATTGGCTGAGAATGAATTGAAGTACATAAGATGGTTACTGCATTGAGTGAGTGAGGGAATGGGAGTTGATGTGATGATTGAGCTTCATTCTTTTGCTCAACAACTTAATACTAGCTCATGGCCGTCATGAGTATCGATAGGAGGAAGGCAGCTCTCTTTGGTGCAGCAGCAGCAGTTCGACTGTTACTATTTGCATCTTTCCCGGGCCTCCCAGACTTGTTGACAGCGAGAGTCGAGATCTCTACACCAGTAACAAGCTTCAAGAGACGTAAATTGCCCCATACATAGACACAAACATTGAATCGTCGACTAACTTCTTATAGTACAAGAGGGTCTCTTTCTTTATAATCACAATGTCTCCCCATACGATGGTGGTGTCTATCATCAGGCACCGTTATTCCTCCCTCTCTTCTCGCTCCTCCCGAGCTCTTCGATGTATCCCGCATTCACATACCTACTATATACATTGGTCGACCTTGCCAGCGCAAATGCTTTAATTAATATAGCAGACTCTGGGGAGGCAGGAAACTCGAGACTCTTCACATCTCCTAGAAAGGATAAACGGTGGACCAGCTTCGCCATTGCTGCTGCCTTTCTTTTCAACCCGTTCACCATTGCAACATGCATTGGTCGACCAACAAGCATATTCACAACTCATGCTATATTATATGCCATTTCAAAAGCATTAATTGGCGCTTCTTATACCTCGATGTTCGCCATAGCGTTTGCAGCGTACCTGTCAATGTATCCCATACTTCTTTTCCCCCCTCTGGCCCTGCTATGCTATGATCGTCAACGTCCTAGTAAGCGTCAGGAGTCTTTGCCATTGTTCATTGGCACCAATGCCATAGCTGTCTGTGGTTACTTGTACTCTCTTCTGCACATGTCGTACATAATCACAGGGTCTTGGGAATTTCTATCATCAACTTATGGTGTCCAACTTCTTCTCCCAGATCTCACGCCCAATGTTGGACTGTGGTGGTATTTCTTCATTGAAATGTTTGACTCTTTTAGGTCATTCTTCCTCGGTGTATTCTGGCTCCACCTCTCATCATATGTCGGTGGTCTTACCATTCGTGTACGACGTCAACCTCTTTTTGTGCTCACAATTCTCCTCGGAATCTTTGCGATTTTTAAACCATATCCGTCAATATCAGATACCTCTCTATTCCTAGGAATGCTCCCAGTCTATAGCCACCTTTTCCCATTAATGCGATATTCTTTCTTGGCCTCTTCTACGGTTCTATATGCAACATTATTGGGACCTGCCTTTTACTATCTATGGATTTATGCCGGAAGTGGAAATGCCAATTTTTTCTACGCAATCACACTCGTATGGAGCCTTGGCTGGAGTGTCCTGGTGGTTGCAGATTTACTTTATGCAGTTCTCAGGGACGAATGGGAAGTCGAACGACCGGAAATGAAGGGTAAAGAGGTCAGGCAAGTATAAGTATGATATGAAGCAATCAGATTAAATCACATCCTTCATCGATATGTCTTTGGTACAATGCGTCATGTCGTGATTCTTATGAAGTTGAGGCTTCGGTTCTACTACACCATTACAAACTTCCAAAATATATCCATGAAGATAAAGGCTAAGAAAAGCCTGCCGAAGATCTCGTACCAGAACCTACGATACACGGCCTCTATTCTATGCCTGAAATGATGATGTATGTGCAAAAACATCTCTCTATATAATCAATGCGATGCAGTCTTTATACCTACATTATTCTACAGGCGACATTCCTGATTTCCGTTCTGACCGTCGGTCACATCTTCTCCCACCCCTTCTCCTCCCTGCGCTCTCTCTTCTCCTGGTTATTTCGCTTCTTCTCCTGGGCCTTCCGACGTTTTTCTTTTGCCTTTATTTCTATATCATTCTCCTTTGCTTTCCTTCGTGCATTGCTGTTTTTTCTCCGTTCCTCGTCATAGTGCACATCCAGTTGGGCCTTTATCCTCGCATCTTCGGCCTTTGCTCTTGCGGCACCATTTACTATGCTTTTGCGCCTTAGTCTCTCTCGCGCTCTTCCCTCCTCCCTTTTCGATTTACTTTCCAATTTCATTCGTGATCTGATCTCAATCCCAAAGGCACGTATGGCATTGCAGATACGTTGCTTTATTGACACCTCTGGCGCATTGGCATTGGCATTGATGTCGGAGTTGGAGGGTATCAGTGAAGCAGGAGCATCTCTCCCAATGCCGGAGTTGGACGGTGCCAGTGAATCAGGTGCAACGCTGTCAATGCCGGAGTCGAAGCGCGCGGGAGAAGCAAGAGTCCGAGTTACCGAATGGTTTTTATTTGCAGTATTAAAAGGATCCGGATTTGTCCATTCAAACGAGGGTTCGGAAGACTAAAGAGAGGTCAGTGACAAGACAATGCCCGAAGGCAACTGCGGAGATACCTTAGTTGATTGGGCCGGATATTCTTTGGGAACTGGTGAGAACTTGGGTCGTTGAGCTTGGATCTGTGAGGAGTTTGCTGCGATGACTTGACGTCGATTTTGATTCGAGAGAGATTGAGGATTTGAATTTGTAGAAGGTCGTGGGTTACCGTTGTGAGGAAGTCGAGGGATCCGATTGGGGGTGGTCATGGTCGCGGCAAGAATCTTGATATCCTTGAGCACCGAGTATATTTCAAATGATCAGTGGAGGTCTGCAAATTGTGCTAGAGGTTCTATGATGTAGATAAAAAATCTATGATGTACCATGATATACTGAGGACACAAGTCTAGACTCCACTACATCCAGTACGGTGGTACTTGACAATGAAACTACGAGGTTACTAAAGCTTAGTGGACGATCTTTTGAAAGATACTAAGAGCAAAAATTGTTCTGCTGGTGTCCATGGCTATACATGATCGAGGATTCAAGACAGATTCTATTAATTTAGCTTTTTGAAATTCTATAAATTGTTGTAGATCTTGGATACAACGAACATAACTAGACACAAACTATACTAAATCAAGATTGAGAGGTTCGAAGTTTGTACCTCTCTGACGTGCACATCAATTGCAAATAGCATATGTGTACACATATCGTAGTAGTAACCTTGTCAAAAGTAGCAGTACTAGAACATTGGAATGACGATGTGATAATTTGGAGCCAACGAAATCATCTAGACACCTTTGTGCAGCCTTTATGATGTCTGATTTTTCTTGAGAGGTAGCTGGACATTTAATGTAATTCTGACCTGCCGACTGCGGTTATGGAAAGTGTTGTGAAACCAAATACGGTAAGCGGTAAGCACCTTTTTTTGTCTAACGCCAAATCAACTTTTTTCTGCCTATTTTCAAAGCGTTCACAAGATCTTCGAAATGATGTTCATGCATGACTTTTCAAAATGTCGTCGCCAACAAATTCGACATTCACGAATTCTTCTCCGCTGCGCGAAAACCGCTGGAATGGACCAGCTTCAACTTGGCAACAGATCACAGAAGAAGAACGTGGTTTGGCCGCCTCGCTGGATGAACTCCGGAATAGAGATTTAAGCCTTCATTTATATAATGCTTTCGCATTGAAAAAGCGAGCCAAAGAATTCAATGCTCACGGAACTGCTAATAGTAAAGATAAGGATCAAGATAACTCAATTGAATTTGTACCTCCTAAAAAATGGACTGCATGGCCAATTGAAGCGACGGAGGTCCCAAGGGAAGGCGAGCAGATAGGCCCGGATGATAATGACGAATTATTTACTCTGAGAAGAAAGGAGACTACGAAATTGAGTAGGGACATGGAAGATGAATTGATCGGGGTCACATTAAAGTATTCAAGGGAGAGATTTCTGCAAAGAGAAACAGCCGAGGACCATGAAAGACAAGTCGAAAATAGTGTTACCGAGGAAATGAATATCGATGAACCGCAACAAGAGCAGTCGGAAGATCCTGAGATTGGAGAAGATGGTATTAGAAAATCATCGGAGCCACCTCTAACCACAACTATTCTGCGACCCGAGATATCAGCTGACGACGAGCGTTCCAGAGAATTGTTGCGTCCATCAATCAGGCATACCCTTTCGAAACTGGATGATGTCTTGATGGCTTTGCACCATGCGCGTAAAACCTGCCGACAGTATGCCGCTCAAGCTGAGTTTGATACGGACTTGGAGCCTCATTCACGTGCAACTAGCATAGCAGGTGAAGCTACGGATAGAGATTCGCCTGTTAAAAAGCCAGTGGGTCGGCCACGCAAACTTCAGTCCATTGATCCTGCAGCCGTCCCTCTGTTTACACCAAATGAGAATGGTCTTGACGACCCTGAACTTTGGAGGGTGAAAAAAACTCACCGAGGAAGGCCGAAGAAGGTTTACGCGAGGTTAGAAGGCGAAACCCAGCATGAATATCTCACTCGGATCGCTAGAATTCAGAAGAAACCACTACCAATTTTTGCCCCACCAATCGAACCAAGCACACCTAAACGGGAACGTACACCTGCCTTGGTGTCTCCTCAAAAATCACCTAGAAAGCTTGCAGATAAGACACGCAAGCAGATGCTAGGTCTCAGAGATTGGAGCGAGGTACTAGGATCTGCTGCATTAGTTGGATTCTCGCCAAATGTCATTGCTAGGGCTACGCAACGATGTGCGGATCTTTTTGGAGAGAACATGATAATGAGGACTATGGTTGAGGGACCTGCAGCAGGAGGAAAGGACGATAAAGTAACAGAGTATTACCCGGGAATGATTCCTGATCTTGATGAATCTGATGAATCTGGAGCATCTTTCGATGAAGACGAAGACGAATCGTCGGATTCAGCTTCCGATACGGAAAACGCGGATGGTAAAGGCCATCCTCCCACAAAGCGAAATGCTTCTCGTATTGACAGTGACGAGGAGATGGATGGAGCGGTGCATACTGATAGATTTCTCAAGCCGCTCACTGGGAAGAGAGGATGGCGAGGTATCGATAAGGAGAAGAGAAAACGAAGCAAATCGGGGGTGCATATGGGAGACCGGGAACAAGTATCTGATGAGGAGGATGGGGAGGGTGAAGCGTCGGGTTCATATTCTGAATCGGACCAAGGAGTGCAGGAAGAGGCTGAGGGCGGAGGTTCTGATAGCGAGCATTGAGATTGTGTTATGGATATGTTCATGAGGAGTTATTTCATCAAAATTGCAATCAGGGTGGAGAGGGTGATAGTAGATTCATATCAAAGTTTCCAAAGGATTGTCGTAAATTCTCGACACATGAAATCTCGCACTTATCTGTCTCCCTGATTTTCCATAGTGGGTGGGACTCAACGATATTGAGTGTTTTGACTTGGCAGTGTTATCCGATGTCCTCCTCCTCCAACAGAACACTTCGTTTTACATTGTAACGAATTTTAGGGCCTGGATCTCTCGGCATCGACATTAAATTATTTCGCAAGTTATAAGACTTTTTGAAAGACGTAGTCAGAAATGTATCACTGCGCTCTTATGAACAGACAATACTTGAGAGCTCAATAAACATTATATTTCAAGCCCGTTCTTTCCAAAGTATGTCATAGAATAGAATAGAAGAGAAGAGCCAATATTAATATCCCAAATTCCCGCTAAGTAACACAGCAAATGTAAAGCAAATACAAAGGTATATTCGCAAATTAAACAAATCATTCACTCATCTGAGTGATAACGGTCGTCTTATATCCACTCGCCCAATCAATCCTATCTCCACTCCTACTTCCTGTCTCACTACTTTCTCCGATCGAGCGACTGCTCTCTCCAGTTTGATACCCTGCACTCAGAACACTGACTTCGATTGAATCATCCGACTCTTCTGCTTTCCATGCCGCCTGTAATCGTTCTCTTTCTAAATCATCCTTCCGCACGATTTTCTTATCCGCATAAACATATGTTCGAACGCCACAAGTGTCGTCCAGACCCAGCATTGCAGCGAATTGTTTCGAAAATTCGTCATCAGAATCGACAAGGCTATCCTGGGAGGTTTTGCCAGCCGTGGCCGACTTATCAGAGTAGATACTAAATGTTTTCTTTTGACGGGCACTGAAGAGAGGTCGAAGCGTAGCAAAAGATGCGGCAGTTAAGGCGATAGCGGGTTCAATGATGGACCATTTAACTAGATTGATTCCCTCCCAAGTGTAGTCAGTGGTTTGGTTGAGTTGATTAATGTAGTATATGCGGACTATTGTTGCTGTGCTTGCACTATAGGTATATGAGCAAATCGTTGTATTTGAAACGTACGTTGGCAAAACTTACAAGAAACCGAGAGATAGAATAAGAACAACTGATAGCTTAGTGCGCGGATTCATCTTCATCTTCCAGACAAATGTAATTGGTAGGATACCATAAGCCCAGTCCGTTAAAGCACTCATGGCGGCATGTGCATAGGTAACGTTAGCTCGAGTTGATGTGCTCAAGCAATATCCGCTGCCGTCATCGAACATTTTCCAGAAATAAGATATCGGTTGACATTGCAACAATACGAAGATAAAGTACGCCATGCTGACCAGAACTGCAACAGCCATGACACTGTAGATGATCCAAAATTGATATCGTTTGTTGGCGAGTCGTAAAAAATAGACCCCGATGGAAACTTTTGTAATAGCCATGGTGATGACATAGAGAAGTTCACTCGCAAATATGTACTGGAAATAGTGAGCCGAACGTCCAATTATATTCTTTGAACATACACACCTTAGCAAGCTCATCGAGGTAATCTGAATTGATATTGTATATATGAGCACCGAGTCCAAATGCAAGTGACCGTAATAGAAGTCCACACAAAGCAGTGTGTATAGTCTAAGATCCATAATGTTAACATTGATCCTTATATATTATAGTGATATACATACTATAGAAGCAACAGTCAACCAATCTTCAGGTCCAAAGAATTTTTGAATTCTAATCCTGACATAAAATCGAAGTATACCGGCGATCCACGGTAGGGCTAGAGCGGCACAGGCAACACCCGTCACTTGCGCTCCTCGATTAACACCGAGAACATTGTCATCACGAGAGACGAGGTTCATCATTGCGATTGAGACCATGGTATATCGAGGAAGTGTTGCTCATGAGGAGAGAAGCAAAAAGCAATCATTGATCATCAACAGAAACGTGGGGATGACGTTAAGCAGTTGGGTTTCCAAATTCTAAAATCTGCAAGCCACTGGTATATATGAAGATGAAAACAGAGAGATAGCAGGCAGGTGGACATGGATTATGACCCTTCTTAACAGTTCCCTGTATCGACGATTTCGCGGCAAGAGCGAGTCTAACGCCTGCGAAAGAGGTCTAACATAGGTCTCTCTTCAAGCCACGCGAGAACCTCGTGAATCGTATCTACGATGCAGCTACGAGATACGATTTTAAGAGCTACTCGGTGGATAGTTTTTTACGCTAAGTTTTTTGAATGGGGTGCCCGGTTGTGACAAATTTCAATTTGGCGGAGGATCTGCTTTTGGTTAATGGGAGAGGGTCAAAACTCGACTGTTGGTTGGTATGTCAACTCTGAAAAGACTGGAATCCACGAATGCTGTATAAATGCATCTATTGTTTGCTTTCCTAAAAGCAATTTCCAGCAGAGTGGCTGACTGACTGTAAATCCCAACTGCGTATCGTTTTAATATATAATACTTTATGGAGCAATATCTTACGAGGATTTTTTAAAATTGCTCTTTAGTAAACTCGTAAATGATTCGTTGTCGGTAGCCGGCTAAACCGCCAATTTTAGTTCAGACTAACCACAACCTATACATACTTTTTTCTCGTGTGCCTAGAGATATGTCTACTTCATATGACCTTGTCGTTCGTCTCTAACTCGTGGCTACCAATGAAATTTGAGCTCTCGGAGATATAGATAAGTTAGTTGAATCGGACCTGCGATTGGACTATTGACTAGCACCATTTAGTTCGTCCGAACACTCTGATCCCCACCAGGCTAACACCCTGCGATCCAGAAGGGTTCGGATTCCTCAATAACAAAGCTGAATTTCAATAGTGGTCGGCGTACACAACAGGGAAATATAACCGATCTTTTCATCCGAGGTGTCTTTGGTCGAATCCTAGGCTTTGTATTGGACAATGCGGATTTCTACGGAAGTGAACAAGGTTAACATCCACATATGATATCGCAGAAGATCAAAACAATGCATAACATGCTTGGAGACTTTGGCCCGAATACTTCAGTTCATGTTCATCCATTTTACACGTGCAAGTCAATGGATAGACAATCAACGCACAGCATCAATGTGATGAAACATCGCAGTCCCTATTATCTCGTTTAAATCGGTTAATCCTTTCCCATCGCTCGGACCGAACTGGTGATCAAAGCTTGCTGTCAGTGCAGTGGTGAGTTTACATGTCAATGCCATCAGGTATACTATAGCGATTAGATAAATCTCAACATAGAAGTGCAGTCTGATTTTCTGTGACTGGGATTTTGGGAAAAAGTTAGTCTGGAGCATTGGAGCTATGTCATGGGCTCTACAAGAAATTTTGGTTGATTGACAAATATTTTCACGCATCGTCTTTGGAGGGGTTGGAGCGGTATCTCACGAGGTATGGGAGGCAATGTTGACTATTCGTTTGAAGTTGGCTGCTCGCAACGGAAAGAAGCATCTTCTTGTTGTCTGATTGAACTTTTCATTCTTCTTCACATCCCAGAGGAATTCTGATCCAATTTGGATTTGAAAGGCGAATCCGCTGGCAACAGCACTGGAAATCGTGGACGTCGAAGATTATGAAGCGTTGGGCCAATTACTCATAACATCTTATACGACCAGGGATCATGTGTGGATAGACATCATTTTTTCTTTAACGAATGGCTCTACTCGTAGAAAACATCAGATCAATCCCTAAAGAGAACAGCAAAAAAGGCTCCTGAAATTCCAAGTGAATATAGAGGTCAAATTGATCATTAGATATAAACGAATAAGTAAGCTCATCTTACAAATAATCACTCTCAAGCTCTGAAATGTATCACTTCTACTTCCTTTGCCAAAAGATGCCGTGTTCAACCATCAAAACTCACAGCTACATCTACTGCACATTGAACATCCCTGTGTTATACTAAGTATCCAACCACATTAAAACCCTCTCGTTAAAACTTCAAGAACCAAATAGCTGACTACTAGTACCTAAAGCCCCCATGATGCGGCGGAGGGTAGCTATAAATGCTGGACGGTCTTCCCGTATCGCTACTAGCCTTGCTATCATAATAAACCGGACGATAACGATGTTCATGTCCATGACTCCGATGACTCCCATGATGTCCGCTTCTCTTGTCATAGATTCTTCTCACAGATGGTGCATACATAGAGCTTGTACTTGAGTCGGTATCCGAATCCGAGTGATAGGAGGCCACACTTCCATGACCATCTTGCACATATTCGCGATGACGATGATGAACCCTTGGCTTTTTCACAGGAGGTGGATCATTATCTGCTTCATTTCTCTCTCGATAGTTACACACAAAATCGCTATCGGTCACAATGCTTTCTTCGTCTTCTTTTCTTTCTGGTGCGTAAGGATTCTCGGGATTCTTGTCTTTGATACGATGCTTCTTCTCGTCTCGTTCGGATTTATATCGGTTGCGGTTTAGTAGTCTTTCCAGTTTCTTGTCTGATTCCTCGGCTGCCTTTTTGGCAGCTTCTTCGGCAGCTTTTGCTTTTCTAGATGCGTCGTTGTGGAGTGTCATGAGCTCGGGTTGAATGATATTTTCATCGTGGTCAAACGGACCTTTTTGCCCATTTTTGTCATCTTCCGGTGTATAATCAGTATATTTGATTAGCACATTTTTGGTAAAATTTTTAACTTTACGTCCGCCCTTCACCATTTTCCCTATCTTCGAAGGGTGTTCGGGTCCCATTTTTCGGTATGGGAAATCCGCTGCATCGGGAAATGTTTTGCGGAGGAACAAATATTCTTCGAGTAAAGCGGAGCTTTTCGGCCATTCGATTATAGGATCGGGTTTACCATCGCGACCCATGTTTCTGCAGCATTTGGAGATGATTTGACTTATCCAATACAGATGCTTCTCTTTACATTTCTTGTGCCTTTTTCTTTCTACTTCGGCGACGATTTCTCTGAAGCGATCGTAGTGGTCACCGTCACGGATACGACCCTATGAGGTTTCGAAGTTAGTCATCTTCTACCAAGACGTAGCACAATGGACGAGGAAATAAAACCCAAAGCGATAATATGAAGTGCAAACACGCCCTGAAGGCTACATGTAAGTGAGGCTTAAGTGTTGGAAGAAGTTGGATGTAGGGGAGTATGAGAAACTTACGATCTGCACAGCGCGGCCTGGTAGGTTTCGATGGTGACGTCGAATAATTTCTGGCGGCTCAGTTGAACGGGAGAAATATTGAAAATGATTATATTTATGGCTGACTATTTTTTGTATCCCCTCCTTAGGTGTCATATCTAAGGTGAGAGCTTGAAATATGACGTTAGAGAGAATTTCGCATGCATTTCCCCACAAAATGTAATGAGTTGGACGCTTCATTAAAGAGAAGATCTTACTACAACAAGGGAATCTATATCAATTTAGCCTTGGCGAGAGGAGATCCGTATTTTTAAAGTGTGATTAAAGAAAGTTACGAGTCTGTAGGAACACGAGAAGTAGAACTGCAAGAATGTGTACTAGATGGCTAGGAAAAATGTTGTTTTGGTAGGCGCCTAGTGGCGAGGTTCTTATTATCTTTGGCCCAAAGTCAATATGCCGCGTACAACGATATATGGGTCGAGTTTTGTTGTTTTCTTCGACCGCAGGAACATTCTTACCTAAAGATTGTTTTTATCCGAAAAAAAAGAATCCAATAAATGGCGATACTATGTCACATAGGTCGTTGAATCGACCTCACGACTAGGTTGCATGGAAATTTTTTCCTGATTCAACCTGATGAATGACCGCTCAGTACAGAATCATTGGGGAAGATTTTGACATGAAATTTAAGGGAAAACCAACATAATCTCAAAATTCTACAATCAGATTATTCAAAAAATAATGACCTCAAACTTGGCCGAGACCGTTAGCCAGAACCCTAAGTTCTGGACAAAAAAGAAGTTATAGGTGCTTGAACTCTGTGTTACGATCGGCAATAATCAACTAACTACGACCATTGGCTGCTTATGATTTGGAATCGAGATATGCGAGGACTCGGAAGAACCTCAACTATGGCGAGGCGATTCAGGAAGTCCAACATTCTTCAAACGGGACCTCCCCGGTATGAGAAAAGTTTCAATGTCGTACAACCCGAAACTGTTAAAATTCAAGACAGATCATTCAACTCTTGTGGAGCGGAATGTGGAGGCAAATTCAGGCAGGTAAATTGTTCAGCAAAGTTTTAGAGTTATAGTGGATGCAAAAGATTCATAAGAGAATGTATTAGAAGGATAAAATTCCAGCGAACGAACGAATGTTATACAAATCCCGTCGTGACAGCAAGCCTGTTGCTGCAACTGAGCTCCAAGACACCCCCAACACCGCCAAATATCCCATGTACTTTTCCTCTGCCTATGACCCGCAAGACCCAAACTCCGTTTGCCAATTGGCAAAGCAAGCCAAACTTCCCTATCCTCTAGTCACATCGCCATCCCAGGAGCCTGTAATCGACTCGCGCTTATCCAGTCAAAGCTACGGTTATCGTATATTGGCGAGCAGCATTGGTCTACTCGCATCGAGGCAGTCTGTAATTGTGTAGACATCGAAAGGGGATTGGGTCTTTGCAAGACTCCCCTAGCAAAAAGTAGTTCCACCACACTATTGGTCCATTCTTGATAATGGCGAAGAGAATTTGCGGGGTCGATTTTCGGTGGTCCTGCAGTGATGGAATCACAGATGGCGCGAATTTGCGAGTATTGAGATACCGATACCGTGCCGATGAACCTGCTGGCATTGTTCGGACGTTTGATCTCTTTGTGGGAATGGATCATGCCGTTTTGCATGTCCCCGATTACTTGATAGAGATGACCGCTGTCGCTTCCTTGTTCATCAGTTTGAACGAAGATACCTCGTGAGATACCAAGGAAGTCGACCATGTAGACATTGAAAGACATTTTTGATTTAAGTTGAGAGTACAATTGTGAAATTTAATACGGTGTTAAACTTTGAGGCTAACTTTAATGACGACAATGAGATGAGTACTGGTATTGATGAGAATGAAATTGAATGCAGTTAAGGGAAAATACGAGTCTCTCATATATAATTGCACATCAGATTGAACTGCTTCTTTGCAGGTAGCATTGTGGTTAGTACTTCCAATCCTAGCAAAGGCAGTCAAGTCTATCTAAAGGTCCCAATCCTGGCGCGAATTCTCAAGGGGTGGTAAAGACGGTCGAAATGCCAAAGAGGTACTATCCCCAAGTCACTTACCTAAAAAACGGCATGGTATTCGACGATCAAATAGATATTCTCTAAAAATAGGCGCCGACATCTTGTAAGCAATAAAGTCGCCCCATAAATCACATGATTTAAAGCCAATCGAGGTGCTTTGATGAGGCCGCAAGATTACTTCAGCGAGTCGAAGATAGGATTCTATTATCAGCAACTAGTTCAAATGCCTCACCAGATTGACCAACTAGTCTTCTGTGTACTGGTAAATACGAGGCATGAGCTCGTTCGCAGAGCAGTAGGTAGTCACATATTTTGGTACTTGAAAATGAACTACTCTTTCAAGATTCTATAAGCTATTATATTTGTGCGCTACGCAGCTGTGAATCTACAAGTATTGTAGGGTATTGAATGTTGGAAAAAGATAATTCAAAGGGAAAAAGATGGTAGATCTTTAGACTACAGGATTTACTATCCTAGGATTTCATCAAGTAAAGAGAGTACTATTCGAGGCCTAGAGCGGTCGCAAATGTATGGATGGTTCGTGAAATGTGCAGGCTGTAAAGATGCACGCATAGTCTTTCTTAGTCCAGCAGATTCTAAGACGTTATATGCCGGCCTTCTCTTCCACGAATCAATGGCGAAGGATGAGACAATATGTTTCGGCTTGCTTCGCAGATGGGTGCCCGTGGTCAATTCAAGGCAATACACCCGTTGTGTGAATTGTATGAAGTGAGAAGTAATATCAAGGTGATGATCGACACAAGGTAGAGGCATCCTTCCTGCACGCTTTGATAAGTGAAGAAGTGACTCGAGACTTGATAGGCTAAAGAAATGACTTGGATTATGAGGAAGGCTACAGTGTGTTTCAAAAGAACGTGGAATAAGGTTTATGATGGAAACGAGCCTCAAAATCCAGATTCTAATCGACTGCTCAAAATAGTACCCGAGACAAGAATGCGGCCATGTCCCGATAAGTGACCTATATCAGATCGAACTTATCAAACGTTTGCAGACGCTGAAAGTGGGAGGCTTTTATGTGGCGATAGTGTTGGTGATTTGTAAAGAGCGACAGATCATAGAAGCTATACAGACCAATTAACTATACTTGACAATTAGATTGTGGTTGCATTGTAAAATGTGTTAGAAGAATGAAATGAAGTCTTATGGATTCATCCATTATAGAAATTGCAGTAGTTGATGTTTACCTTCATCAAGTCGAAAAGCTTGAGTAAGCCTTCTTCACATAAAAAAGGTGGATATTTTTAACGCCAGGATGCCGTCATCTTGCTCCAATCAGTCTTTAAGACTCGAGCAATTTCCCTCTGAAAAGATTCCGGTTTTGTCTGTAGGAATGGCCCTCGAGGTCGAGGATAACCGAAGATTCAACTGTGGCAGTCTGCCTTGTTTTGCAGAAGAGCTGTGGCAATGGAACCATCTCGAGAGGAAATGATGGAGGGTCTGTCCAGGTCACGTGCATCACGTGTGACTATCAAAATTCCTTGTTTTCTTTTTCTTTTTTTGGGGCTTCTTGAAGAATACTCTTTTCTATAATGATTGTTGCGAGACGATTTATAATGGTTCTAAATGCACCTGCCTACCTGGTATGATTACTTGTACTGCGTTGCTCTCAATTATTACGGAGGTGGACACAATAAACGTGATACGACGCTTATGGCTTGGGTGGGCAAACATAGATGTAGGTGCTCTTCTCCAAACTCAGATGATACTTCTACTGCTACACACACCGCTTCGATACACGTATACAGATTTCAAGATAAGTACAATCAATATGAGTTACATGGACTAGGAGATTAGACGTCCTCATTTCTCAATATTCTTTCCATTTGGGTTTGGAGTTCTTCGTTCCCCCGGCCTAAAACATTCCGACTCGTGGACCCGCTGTCATCTCCGTAGGGAGAACGACAGAGAGCCAGGGACGGATACACACCCACCTGCGGCGTGGACCATTCAAGATGAAGATTGGCAGTGAGGCAGGCACAAATCCCAGGCGCTTCAATTCTTTTTTTGAAAGGGCAACCTGGAACGAGTTGGTATGTTGAACAATTGAACTTCATGGACAAGTGAAAAGTTGAGTTTCAGTGCCGAATTTCTGACCCATATTCATGATTGGGCCATGGAGTGAGACGAACAAGCGCGTGTGATTCCATTGCGACAGAAATACATACCGAGGTGGAGCGCCAAATTCTTAAAAAGGAAGTCTGGAGTTTCACTTGGTGTAGACTGCCACGAGGTTATTGGTGAGTCAAGACTCAAGAGACTGGCAAAGATTCACATGCGAAAATATGCATAGGAATGATTGACTTATATCTAATGCCGATATGTCATGCAAATGCCAGAAGCATTCATTTATCACATGTGCTTTCGCAATTGTGATGACCGGTATATCTTATATTGTGTTATATCATTCCAGCATTTTGTTCTTCGCCCAGGTAATTATTCTCACTCTATCATCATTTAGTCACTTTGTTCGGCGTCGAACGCCATTTTCATCGTCATAAGAATCTCTTCACAATCTCAAATCATCGCCAAAGCCATTTTCCACAAATACTGATTATTGGGCGACATCGGCTCAAACAATCTGTCACCCGAACGTGCTTTGCAGATAGCGCGATTCTTTCTGTGCAGTAGCGGTCTATCGACACAGCGAATCCAATCTTTGGATTTGTGTTGATTATATCCACTATTACATGAAAAAGTAAAGACATTTTCTAATCAACTGCAAGTGGGCATTGGCGAGAAACAATTGGACAATCGGCTCGGGCAGAGTTCCTCCCCAGGGTTTCTCGATAGTGCGAAATATATTGAATTTTAACCCAAAGATTCTCGCCAAATCTTCTTCCTTTCTTGAACCGATCATCCATCTTGGAGCAAGTACTATAGCACAGGTTTCTCTAGAATCAAGTCATCCTCCGTGTGATCAATTTAGATCTTCAACTTCTCTCGCCGTTCTCATCGTCAACAAAAGCTCAAGATACCTAGTACGCTAAGATAGGAAGAGAGTGGGGTTGTGGTCAACTAATGCGGAGCAAGAAGCATTAACGAGTACTAGGAGGGCATGGGCTTTATTGATTGCCAACGAACATCCAATCTCATTTACACCGAATTTTAGATATTGTTCTGGATCAATCTTCCATCGCTCCACTAGACGATTTTAGTACCGGCTCAACAAACCAAGCGGTGGAAGAAGATCTAACGAACTATCTTAGAACTCCAAGGTTCAAGTCTATCGAGTAGTGGGTTTGGTACATACACTTAGAGGAAAGCCACCGGGGAAATTTTAGACTTTACTTACATCATTCTTTGGGTAATATTTGGAGAACCATTGGGGTACTGCCCGTGGTTCTTCCATATGCGTACATCTACTTGACGTACCCACCGCACAAAATTGAGCGTTTACTTTCAAATCCACAGAAACTCCGCTCCCAGGAATTCTACAAAAGATTTCAAACCAACTTAGCGAGCATATCTGGCAACAGGTGGTTCTTAAATTGCAATCTACGAGAAGATTGAGAACTGCAAGACGGCTATACACCCCGAGCAAAATCAAGAAGTCACGATCCGCACTTGCACCAAATCGTCATTATAATTTCGATCCAACTTCGCTTCAATCTCAGACATGTCTTCCAGAACCCACAGGAAGCTTTCCCCCTTGACTACCAATTGGAGCAATAGGAGTCATTCAAGTATAAACTCTGATGCTTCAGTCTTTTATTCAGCACTAGCAAACCCGACACCAATCGAGCTCAAGCAACAAATTCCTCAATCACCTTCATCTAGTGCTCATCCACACACCATATCTTCTCCTCGAGAATTTTGTCCTGCCAAGATGAACCGTCAAGACTCAGGTTACGCAGAAAATGTTTCCTACATACCCAGTCACATGCGAACGTCATCACGACCTAGCTCAAAATCATCCTCCCATAATCCTCGGCCCTCATTGAATGCGTCCCGAAAATCATCTTCTCGTTCCAAGGATTCCTCCAGCACCTCCTCCTCAGCCTCCAGTGCAACCAGCCGGTCAACACCCAAACGCTGTCCAAAATCTCCCCGCACCTCCACTTCTCACTCACGCCCCAACGTCTCTAGGCACCACCACAGCCAAACATTATCAACGCCACCTCAATACCAATATTTCCACTTCCCCTCACTCTCCGATGACCTACCACAAGAAACATCTAACACAACTTCAACTGTCGCTCCACCCCCACCCGCTACAATTCATTACTGGACCTCGGACCAAACCCGAAGATTAGAGTACGCAGCCATTGACGCAGCCAGTAAGGGAATTCGGGGATTTGTAACACGATGCATACCCGATTGTTTCTTGCCAGCTGAGAAGAGGGGAAACAGATTTTGTCAAGAGGATATGCGAGAGGGAGATGATGACGCAGGGAGCGTGAGGAGATATCGACTAGTTATGGAAGACGAGGTTGAGAATGAGATGAAAGGGGAAAGGATCAAGGACAGAGCCCAGTCGGTAAAGGAACACAGAAGGAGGTGGAGTTCCTTTATTAGACGCTGAGCCTGAGAGGAAATTGTGGCTTTCTGTGGGATTGCATTCACGGAGCGACAGGAGCACTGGGCTACGCTGTTATAGTTCGCTATCTTTCATTTGTTCTTGATACCCCCTTGTATAAGGATGACTTTTTGAGCTTAGTGGCAGTTTTTTGATATTACATATTGGAATTGATTTAAATTCTTGGGCTTTGGTTGAGGGCAGCGATATAAAGAGGAGGTCACAGCATTCGCATGGAAAGATGGCATTTTCGGCGTATGGGAAAACAAATGGTCCCATGAGGATACGAGAACAGTTGAGACAATAGTAACACATACCCAGGTATTGTCAGGAAGATATAAGACTGCAGTTACTCCCTGAGGAGATGAGAGAATGGCAATATGAAAATATTCAAAAAAATATCAAATTTCCACAATTTCGTGCCCAAAGATCATACTGCAGGCACGATTTGATTTACAATAAAAGCAGAACATCTTGTCAGTAATAAAAGGGGGTGTTATATTGAAAATATGACTATTCTTGTTCCCAATCAAAAAAATCTCCATCAACGCTTTCGCTACCTTCATAAAAAGTATTTAGTGACGCTGATCTGTTGTACAAACCATATCCCATCCTGAACTCCATGCTTAGAAACCGATCCATGTACACATCTATAGCTCATGCCCTTCTGAGAGCAATCTTGCAATCATGACATACGTGAAAATCACTCCACCGGCGATCCAGTATTTATGCGTCTGTAACCAACTTCTTCCTTCTCTGCCACCTTCTACGACAGCTCCCACAACAGCTTGACTACCTCCTGGTCTCTTTATCGCCATTCCGCTGCAGTCCCTTCCTTTCTCCTCCTCATCTTTCTTTTCCTCGTTTCCAGTCACAATATCGACTCCCCTCTCTTTCATCCACTTCCAGTTCTCCTTATCCAACTCTTCCCATTCACTTCTAAACTTTGCGCCTCCGTCTCCGGCCTTGATATTGCCCTTCTGTGTTCCGTCTTTCTTGTAACTTCCTCCTCCGGTGCTATTCCACCATCTCGTCCTACTCGCAGCCCATTTTCTTTCCGATTTAGATGCGTTTACTGAACCCGTTGTCATTTCTTCACTTGTCATAAAACTTAATAGACCTATCAATATTGTGCTGACTTCCCACGCGGGATTGAAACTCTTAGGATGGAAATCGCTGATTGATAGACAAAGACGAGTGGAGGGTTGGAAACGCCCGGATGGCGTGTGCATTTTAATCGAGGGAGGCGCAAATGGATAGTTGGGAGGGAACAAAAGGGTGCCCCAGTATTGTCCACCATGATAGGGAGTATCGGGAGGTCCGGTGAGGATGTAATGCCATTCGAGGATATTGGATTCGGAGGGGTGGGCTTCGATGTATGGAGGAGGATTTTCGGAGATGGTTTTGTATTCACGGGTTAACTTTATCAAATATGTTAATCATCAAACAGATGAAAGCAGACTGCCATGTACAAGTTGATTTACATACCCTTTTGTTGGCAGCTCGACTTGCCATTTTGCCGTCGCACTTGAAACCTTGAGGATACGCTGGCCTTGTTGTGCTGCGAATGACGATAGAAGACGTTCGGGGATCCGCCAGTGGGTGTACGGACTGACGAAGTGTTTCAATTCTTGATTAGAGACGGAACAAGCAAAACGTGAATTTTGATGTCGAACAAGTGAAGAATAAATTTGTTAAGAATATTAGAAATTGGGATGTATCCCGTCAATTCATGCACCCACTAGTGGTCTGACGCAAGGTTCTTGAGTACGTCTGATGGATGATTCTCTTTGGTTGGAATATTAAATCTAATCAGAACCAAAACGTTCCTTTGAGTTTTCAAAAAGTCGATTAGAATGCGAGAGTTGTATGTTGTTCGTAACAAAAGATTCACATGGAATGCTTTGGGTTTTATTACGGATGATTCAATTATGCAGGAAGCGCGATAGACCTATCTATTCTTAGTCTCTTGCTTAGTCATGGACAGTGTTTGAGCCAAAGCCTCCCCCGCTGTACGATTGGAAACCAGAGAACCAGGAATAATTCTGGGTAGATTATACGATATGACTTCGTCAAATGGGCCAAAGGGGGCTGTGAGTTTCGTTTCTACTGTTTGGAGCATATCATTACAGTGTGGGTGCTAATGTCTTTGGTTGCAGCTTGTCGAGAGTCTCCTAAAAACCGATCCCAAATCACAAGAAGAGCTGGAGAAAGCTATAGCAGAAAAGCATATGGGATATGCCATAGAGGCTGCACAGAGAAATGGAGAGCTGGTATGTACATGTGGCAGCTTCGGAAGTTTATGATTGCATGGGCTCACTGAAGAGATTGGCAATAATTCCACAAAACCGGTCACAATATCCTCGATCAGACTCCTCGGCCCCTCGCACACAAGGAGGTCATTCCTCGACGGAATATTCGACCCTCTGCTTAGTGCAAACAGATATGGACCATATACGTTGTCGGAAGCATTGCAGGAACTCAGCACAGCTACAAATAAACTCCGTCGACATGGTACGATACTCCTCATAAGGGTCTAATCAACAGTATACTTATTCCGTCTTAGGCATTTTCCACGATGACATCTCGATGTTCATTGATAAACCTGACCCTACTGACCCCTCTTCTACTCCTTCCGATATCGATATATACATTCGTGCACGAGAGCGAGGCGTTATCACACTGAAAACTGGCACTGATCTTGGTAATGCCGAAGGCTCAGCCTATGGAAATGCACAATGGCGTAACATATTTGGAGGTGCCGAAACCTTGAATGTCAACGCTGCTACTGGCACTCGAACTCGTTCTGCGTATCAAGCTACATTCGAGGCTCCAATTTTGAGTGATCCTGATAAAAGAATAGCTGTAGATGTTCTGTCGAGCGCGACTAGTAAGCCCTGGGCAAGTCACGAAGAAGTCCTCAAGGGCGGGGGTATAAAATATAGTTGGGCTTCAGGCGGTGGCAGCACACATCAAATTGGATACAGTGGAGTATGGAGACAAGTGACGGGCTTGGCTGGAAATGCGTCACCTACGGTACGCAATGATGCAGGAGATACAGTCAAGAGCAGTATCTCACATATCTGGCTTAAAGACGAACGGAATCACCCTATACTACCAAACCAAGGATACCTTCTAAAGTCAACATCTGAAATTGCAGGTTGGGGACCACTAAAAGGAGACGTGGGATTCTGGAAATCGGAAGTTGAATCTAGTGGGGCTGTCAAAGTTCCTGGGATCCCTGGTGCAAGCTTGACCGCTGGTATCAGAGCAGGAATGTTGTATCCACTAGGCGTTGGATTCGGAACTGCAGCCAAGCCATCACGCATAAACGATAGATTCCAACTCGGGGGACCAACGGATGTTCGTGGATTTAAGATTGGCGGCCTTGGACCTCGAGACAGACAAGATGCAGTTGGAGGAGACGTCTACGCAGCTTCATCCATTAACCTTCTTCTCCCATTTCCCCGCCTCGACGTGTCAACCCCACTGCGCCTCCAATTATTCGCTAATGCCGGCCGTCTCCTCGCACTCAAAAACTCAGAAAAGAATACAAGTAAGAGCGTATATGGCACAGTCGCAGAACTCGGTAAGGAGATCCCAAGCTTGGCGCTCGGAATAGGAATGGTGTATGCACACCCCGTAGCACGATTTGAATTAAACTTCGGTTTACCCATCGTTGTTAGAAGAGGGGAGGAAACTAGAAAAGGTCTCCAATTCGGAGTAGGCATCAACTTTTTATGATTTATGAAGTTTAGTGGAGTAGGAGTAGACGAGGCAGGGCATATACCATAAAAAGGCGAAAATGGAGCTTGGGTTGTATAAATGTACAGTATGCTGCATACCAATAGCTTTAGCCAGCTAACTGGATAGAAAATAGGAAGACAATCACGACTTTAGATCGGTTTACTGTGCTTTTTTGTTGTGGGGCCCCTATAATGTCTGTGTTTTAGCTTTGGTTCCGGATGCTGCCGCCGCCACGTTGCTCTGAAAATCCCTGCCATCCAAGAATTATAGTTGAACGCCGGTTAGACAATTCGAATCCTACGAATACAAAGAAAAGCTTTTCACTCATCGATGTTTTTCCGATCATTGGCATTTCCAAACATTGTTTTGAGGAACGCCATCCTTTAGAAGCTCAAATTTGTCTGAAGCTTTTGAGAGTTTTAAACGTACTCCATTCCTGACGATGGCTCCAGTTGCGAAATTTGGCTCCGCTCTAGAGTCTTCCTCTTATCAAAGTCCCGATGGCGGTTCTGCTTACGCACCCCTTCGTAAGAAAACGATCGAGCAAGCCATCGCAATGGGATACAATCCGGCAACCATGGTTGAATGTGGAGTGACTTGGGCCGATGACCACGATCCATTCCAGCACGTGAAGAACGCAGCTTACGTGCATTATGTGAACCAATGCGCATTTCGCGAATTCCAATCATTCGAACCGTATTTGGGCAAAGAGAAATTTCAGGATATGCTCAAGGTCCGTGGCGTCGGACCTGTTGTCAAGAACTATACGGTTAATTTCAAAAGGCCTGTGAAATTCCCAGATTCGGTATGAGTTTTTTTTTGTGAGATGCTGTTGAAATTGGGCTCACAAAACGGACTAGCTTATTGTCGCGAATCATATCACTGAAGTTTTCCCAGATCGTTACTTTGGTATTACCTCCGTCTGGTCTTTGAACCAGCAAGTTATTGTTGCGGATTTCAAAATATGCATAGTATTTTTTGATTATGATCGAGGTGTACCAGCGAATCTTCTTGAAATTGGTGGCGTGTACAAGGATTTATATGAGGGTCTGAAGCAACGATTAGAAATGGAAGCGAAAATAGCTTCAATTTGGGAGAAGGAGCATCCCAAGAGAACGAAAGCCGTGCTGTAATTCAACTTCGATATAGAGATAGATTTGTGGGCGAATATGGCAACGTTCGTTCTAGACCAATGCAACCCTCAAACATTACATTTCATATGGGTATTTGTCAATAAAAAGTTGGAGATGATGTTGGCACGCAAAACATTTCCGATGGTCAATACATTAATTCAAATCGGTCGGACCGCAGCTCACAAATCAGTCTACCCCCTGACTGAAATCCACATAGCAGAGACAATTAACGCCGTGGCATCTCATATTCGGGATATTATAACGCAAAATCGCCCTGGCATTGGCCCCCTCTTTCACATATCTTCCACAGATCTTCCGTCCACTGAATCTTCATTTGGACCTCAAAGCTCGAAAACTATCACCAATCATCACGATTAGGCTGTGCCTCAAGAGCACCCTCTGCAGCAAATTCAGAGTTTATCTCAATTCCTATTTCTATGTGAGCTTTGCAGTAAAACATTGCTTAGCAGGTAGCTTACTGGGGCTAATAGCCATAGCTATGGACGTGCCAATAAAAGAAACTGCGAGGAGGAAAGTTTGGAAACGCATGATGGAAATTTATAAGTTGATTTTCAACTTTCGAGGTTCGGCTGACGCTTCGAGGATGTACTTTGCTACTGTAAGATCTTCTTGCCGAGAAGAAAAGACTATGCTTTCGATTTTAGCGAAGTGTTTTACTTGGCAACTCTCTAGATTTATATCGTGAATATAGCAATTGCATGTAACTATGAAGAGCGATATTTTAATTGTGTATTTGATTTGTACGCTGACCGATCATCAGGAAGTAGAACATTGTATTCGTACTCTCATGCTGATAGGGCTACGCAAGGATATACATATTCAATCTTAATCTCATTGCGCGTTGCTATTCGACAGAGAACGAAATCTTAATGACGAGGTGGTACGATTCAAGCACGCGCACCTATCCAGGTGCCTTCAATCATACTACTTGTAAAAGGTCGAGTGCCGTATCGACAAATGGAAGCATATGCAGTTGTGCAGGGCTCCAGATATTATGCGGTGAAAGATGCGATGAAGTGACTGACGCTTGTGTTCAATCAGTATTTGTACGAAGAAACTCTGTATGACCGGTACAGTTCCACCAATTCAGCCTTAACCAGCTCTTATCATCTGCTACACCCCCACTGTGTATTTCGATCGTGTCCAAATCTTCTCTTTACATCTGATCCACCCTCCAAACATTCGTTATGATCCCTAATACGTTTGAAGATACTAGGGGATTGCTCTCTGAGGAAAAAGGACATGGTGATGATGATAGAAACTGCCCTCACTGCGGAAATACATATCCCAAGTCAACATCTTCAGGGAGATTGCGATCATGGACCATGTTGATCATGATATATGGCATTATCGCCGTATTTACTCTCATCGGCATGGCTACACTACTTTCCTCGAGTCGAAATACCTTTCTCAAACTACCGGAAATGAAATCAAGTCATCGCCCATCATTGTGGAGTATTTACTCGTTCGCTTTTCAAGAAATCATCTTATTCTAACAGAACTCTAGCTCCCTTTGCAGATGGGATTCGGTACGAAATCGAAACAGCTCCATCTGATCTTTGGGCGAATAATATTTACATGGGAGAGCCATGTGATGAATCAGAAAGGGCATGGAATAATCTCATACATCGTTGGTAGACTCGGTTATAATATAAATAATACCTCAGAAACTCATTCTCTCTAGCAAATCGAGGACATGGTGTCAGACTCTACCGCGAGGAAGCTGTGAGGCTAGATATTAACAAAAGTATACTTTTGCAAGACAACAACTTTGCTGTCATTCTTACAGTTCATCATAATCTTCACTGTCTGGTATGAACTCATATTTAATGTCAATGGGATGACTGAATGCTGATTACCTGGCGTTGCCCTTTAGAGACGACTCCGACAGTCCTTTTTTCCAGAACATTACTATGCCAATTGGACGGATGAAGGTCGAGCAGATGATAGACACCACCAATGTAGGTTGAAATTCAATTCATAGTCCCTTATAGCAAAGAACTTACCATTCTCAGTACATTGTCTCGAATCTCTTCGTTCATCCATGATCTGTCAACCGGATCTAGCACCGCTCCCCTACTATTGGTCTGGTAATGTAAGACATGATATGAACGCAAGTCCGCAATCCAAACGTGAATGCGTTAACTGGGATGTATTTTCTGAATATTTGAAAGGGAGGAGCTATAAAAGGTCCGAGATGATTCATGATTGATCTTGGGGAGGGCGTTAACTTTCAGTTGGGCTCATGTATGCGAGTTGTTTACTTAGTATTTTTAGTGTTGACAAAACGATGTATTTTCATTGAATTTGCCTGACTGCGATGGTTTGTCTTCATGATGCCATTTGAAAACCGGACATTCAATTAGATAGAGCCGGTACTACACCATTGACAAATCGGAAGCCCTCAGCAAGATACTTCGATTAACGAGTCTTGGCCAAGTCATCCGCACGTCTGTCAAACACAAAGGCAAAACTTGAATGTTCGGAAGAGAAAGGATGTTCAGGCTGGTCCTACTGATAAGTGTTACATTGTGTTTCATTGATTAGCCTTACGGCGAGCAGAATGAGTTTTTACCGTCCCACAAGATGCACTACATGTCAATGAAAACCAATCCGGCATACACGACCCGGATCCACGGCTTTATTAAGCTTTTATGTCGGGGCTACTCGTTGTGATAGTATTTCTGGCACTACCATTCCTACCTGTTGTGGCTGCCGAACACCATCGCTCTTGCTCCAATGGGGCGATAGCTTGTGCTACCAACTCAACGTTCCTTTCAAGATATGTGGACCTTAAGAGATATTTGGCACTTATCATCCTGTTTTTAACCATACTATGAGGTGAATGAGTACTACCAAAAGTACAAAAGCTTGCTCGGTAGTTACGAGAATGCCTCGTAAGGAAACTAGTCATACCCAGAGTCAATTTGAGCTTTCCACAGGTACCTACTTCAACTAGGTTCCCACAAAATCTCCTCTGCGAACTTGAGTCTTCCATGGGCTTGAATCTATCAAACTGTGGCTTTTGTTTTTGAGATTATTCCCGGTTTTTAAAGTTGTTACTTGTTAATATGACATCGGGGCCTCAATTTAAACCATGTACAGACCCTCCTTGCAAAGTACATGATACAAGTGCGGAGGAGGTTTCACTTCATCCTCACAACGGTGATGGTTTCCATTCTTCGGAAAAGGAAAAGCAGACCTCAGAGCCTCTTGTGGATGAGCATAATCTCAACAATGATAATCCATCACTCTCAAATTGGTCAATTGATCCCCAAAATCCAACAAACCGGTCTTCTACGCGTAAATGGACAACTATTGTTCTTCTCGTCGTCACAAACTTTATAGCGTAGGGTTATCATGACATTATTTTCCAAGTCCCCCGAAACTAGCAGCTAAATATTACAGATCAACATGTACCTCAGCATTCGAGCCGGCGCTACCCTCCATAATGGCAGATTTTCACTCTACCAACGGTTCAATTGCCTCTCTCACCATCTCTATCTACACTATAGGCTACTGTCTGGGACCTCTTCTCATCGCTCCCATAAGTGAATTATACGGACATGTGACTGTACTACATCCTGGATACATTGGCTTTATGTTAGCTCTAGCTGTTTGTGGTTCGAGCAAGAGTCTTCCTTAATTTGTGGTATTCCGTGCTATCATGGGTTTTGCGGCTATCACGTTCGTACTCATGGGTCCTGCGATCGTGGCAGATCTTATCCCAAGGGAATAAAGAGGACTGGCGTTGAGTATTATGTCCACAGGGCCTGTCGTTGTATGTGGAGTGTTAATATGATTAAGATATACTTACTTGCTAACTACTTACAGGGTCCGACGATTGGTCAGTTTTTCTTCTTGGCTCATAGTTTGGTCAAAATACTCATCTCGTTAGGTCCTGTTATAGGTGGTTATATTGTGGAAAACATCAGTTGGAGATGGATTTTCTACTCAACGTTGATAGCTGCAAGTGAACCCAAATGTATACTTTCAGATATCTAACAACTCAGCAGTTTGGTGTATTGTTCTCCATATCTCTTATCATTCTTGAAGAGACGTATGCACCAGTAGTCTTGGATCGAAAGCAAAAGAAACTGGGAACAGGCCTATCCGCAAGTCAAAAGATCACAACCCCCAAAACTCCTCGAGAAATTCTGCAAGCAGCCTGGACTCGTCCCTTCAAGATGCTTTTCCTCTCTCCCATTGTTCCCTTTGTAGGCTTTTACAGTGCCCTCAGTAATGCCTACGGAATGGTATGTTTCGCGACCCTCGGTACCGTATTTCAGAACAACTACTCCTTCACACCTGGCCAAAGCGGCCTAGCATATCTCGGTCTTATGTTCGGCTCCCTCTTCTGCCAACTAACTCTTGCTCGATTTTCCGACCGTTATATGCTCAAAATGGAAGCGAAAAATAACGACAAGCGCCCGGAATATCGTCTCCCACCCATGTTCATCGGTGCATTTCTCCTCCCCATAGGATTTTTCTGGTACGGATGGTCTCTTGAATATCACAACCATTGGATCGTCCCCGTTCTTGGAAGTTCGGTTATTGCAATTGGTATTCTATTTAGCTATCTGCCAGTACAGATGTATCTTGTAGATACATATACTATCTATGCTGCAAGCGCTACTGGAGCATGCACCATCATCCGTTCGATCTGTTCAGCTTTGATGCCGTTGAGTGCTAATCCTCTACATGATGATTTGGGATATGGATGGGGTAATAGTGTCTTAGCGTTTATTGCAATAGGATTTGTGCCGGTCGCTTTGCTAGTGTTGAGATATGGGGAGAGGATTAGAACGAATCCACGCTTTCAACCGAAGCTCTGATATGGAATTCTGAGAGGCGTCAGGAAACAATTGTTAGATAGTTGATATTTACTCATAAGAGTTTACAATGCGAAGACGTTTTGGGGGTCCATTTATCTTCAAACAGTTGAACAAGAAGCGAGGCGAAATTCATTAGACAGTCGTTGGAATTTACATAAAGTGATCTCTACATAGGGGAATTGGTATGCTTCTCGGCAATTTGAAATATTGACTTCAGTAATGAACCAATTAAGATACCACAAGAGAAGCTAGAAGTTGTGATGATCTACCCAGGTGCTATACACTTGAGTTAGAGATGCCATTTTGAGCTATCTGGAAAGTCGCTCACAAACTTTTGAAGAAATATTTATCTACCCATAATCTATCAAGAACCCAGGAGCAATCATTCAGGTTACTAATAGAAAGCTCACAATTTAAACTTCTGCTTGTATTCATCCTTCATACCCTTTAAGTCCGATGCAAGACAAGGTTCCACCAAGTCAGCCCACCATCCTTTCCGATGCGATCTCAAGCCAACCTCATGAAGCAAAGCATCTGTATACCAAACAAGCTCAAAGAAAAAGCATTCTCCCTTTTGACCGTGAGTAGGATATCTTCGTTTCGAAAAGGCCCCCATGTATGCTACTTCCTCTAGCCTTTTTTCCAATGGAGGTAGTTTTATATTACCGTCGAAATATGCTGTTGTCCAGATAGCCTGTGTTTCGGCAGCCCGAAAAGAATTAGAAATATCTATAGCCCCTAGGAACGCGATTGTGTCATCCGCAAGTGGTGCGATGCCTTTGTATAGTCTTTGTACTGATGTATCAGGGGAAGCGCGATTTTGGTGTGGAGGAGGGTTTTCAAGGAGTGGAAATTTGGCGATCACTCGACGATCTGCCTCCTCATAGAGCTGATCCCAAAACGATCTTTCTTTGATACTCTCCATTGGCTTAAAGTGAGGAAGACCGAGATAATAAGCTTCTTTATCGCTAAAACACTGTTGCTGGGGATCCCAGCCCGTTCCCAATAATAACTCATCTGCTATAAGTTGCTCGCCGCTATCTAAAGTTATGATGTTGTCCTTGTAAGAAACAACATCGTTCCGGTAGACTTGAACATCTTGAGATATCGTTTCCCAAAAGCCATCGTGCTGTACAAGTCCTACAGGTCCAGTACACCAAAATGCACTAATGATGTCAGTGTTCTTTTCTCGCATAACTGGGGCAGACTCACGAAGAACTGAAATCAAGGAGCTTGAATCCCTCCAAAGATTCTGGTCTGGTGTCATATCCTGCTATATTACGACAATATTGATCAACATTCTTTATTCTCTGAATCATATAGTTTATCCCAGTGCGAGTTCCATAAAGCAAGGTTTGAATCATGGAGAACCACCAAGTGTTTGGCATAAACGGAGATGGACTAAAGAGTGCTTTGAGCCTAGTTGCCGAGCTTTCGACTGAATTCTTGTAGCGCCCATGGCCAGGGGCGGGAAACAGTAGAGGTGGACCCTCGCCACTTGCTCTAATAATCCATTTGACGTTCTGACCTTTCTTAGCTAACTCGTAGACCATATCTGCAGCGGACTTGCCACCGCCAAGAACAGCAAAGAATAGTACACCGCTGGCCCAAGGTAATGGCTGCTGTGATAATTCCCCAAAAGCTTTATGGTGACGAACAAATCTCATACTTGGTTCCCAATCAATTGAAGGCATCCTAGGATACGAAGTACGGCCAGTAGCCACAACGAGCTTGCGACATGCATGGGAAATCGGCAGCTGACTTGGATGCTTTTCCTTGAGATTACTTGGAAGTTCTGTTATGACTTCCCATCCATCATTCGATTTATTGATCTTGATAGCTTTGCAGTAGAAATATATCCTAGAAAAGATACTTTTTCCGTTGTATGTATGATTATGCGCATACTCCTCGAGATAATTGGTGACATACTTTGCTTCGAATGTATCATGGTATAAAGGAGCATCTTCGGGGACAGTAAGAGGGACATCAGAGAATCCAGACATTCGGCGGCCACTTTGACACCAGAAATTATCGTATGATCGTCCTTGAAATTGCACCCGAAAGTCAGTATATACAAATGAAAATTGAATAGGGAGGGAAACAGCCAGAAAATAAACTACACTTACTTTCATTCCAAACACCACCAAGGCATCTTTCCTCTTCAATAATAACTAGTTCCGCTTCCGGGTGAATATCAAGGTAGAATCTGGCAAAGGCCAAGCCACTTAGGCCTAAGGAAAATTATATGAAAGTCAGCGATTCGTAATTTTAGACGCAGCAAGTAAAGTAAGCATTCCATGATAATGGAAGAGAAGATGACGGTTCATACCGGAGCCAATTACAACAACATCAAATGTAGTCATCTTACCAAGTGTCTGACAAGATGATCTGTGGTGTTTTGTATTCAATATTCAATATTATGTTGTAATGTGACGCGTTTTGGGTGTATTAGAACGCCGATAAAGTTGAGAAGAGTGAAATCACGGCTCAATATATCGTTTCGATGGTGAATGAATGATGTAAGTAACGGTTACCCCATTGATCGTATATGCTTCTTTTGCCATAAACCATGTGAGGTATAAGATGCATTACACAAACACAAACACGGCAGGAACGAAGTAAGTACGTAAATGGTAGTAGTTGTATGATCGTATCATCTCCCACTAATCTACCTAGTACATTCATCTCCCTCTTTTTGACTTGCTTGAGATACTGACATTTTATCTCATGTATAGGTGAATGCCCAGCGAAAGCCTATAGTCCAATAGCGAGTTGTATATATTGCCGGCTTTCCATATCGTCGGATTCGAACCTAATTTCGAAGGGTGTCAGATGTGTAAGACTAGAAACTGGCCGAACTCTATTCAACCATCAAGCACATCAATCAGCTGCCATCAAGATGCTATAATAAACAGGATGCACTACCCTCACTTATTCATGGATTCCCAAAATATTGAGACGATCCACGGCAATCAATGAGCAGTGAAGTGATACACGGGAAAGGCACAACACGTGACATGCTGTAAGGTCGATTGGAGGAGCATGGTGCATTTAGATGTCCGAGCTTGTTTCTTCTAAGCTCACTTTAACACTTCAACTTTGTTGAAGGTTGCAACAAACAAACCACATCACAGGAAACAACAGGCACTATCGAGGGCATCACAATGAAACAAAAGAAAATCTCGCAGAGCTCAGTTTATAAGTCACAAAGAAAGTTAAAGTATACAACTATCAGTGAATCTTGAGGATGCTGTAACAAGTATTGCTGCCATGCCTTCCACGCTCACGATCTACTGTCTTGAACTCCAAAGCCAGGAAAGCGGTGGATGGCGATTAACAAGCAGTGTACCTACACACGATACTTTCTCGGAGCTATACCCAGTATGCTAACTTTGGCACGCAAGTATAGAGGAAAGAGGGGCAAAGCATTGATAATGTATATTTGCTTGTGGAAGTTGTCTATGTGTATCCACACCGTCTATATACTTTGCACTCTACAAGAATAATATCATCGCTCTCTCTGTCCTTGTTTCAATTCTTCTCTCATCTCATATTTGCGCTGTATCATGGTATGATCCAAGGAGATGAATAGGTAAATAAGCGAAAGTCATGCACTATCCGCTAGAAATTTTGGGCTATGAGTGGATTGGGAATTTCTTTAAACCCCCATTGTATTTGTCTTGCAGCATGTACAATGATTCTACACTTATGTTAGTAGTCTCCATGGATGGTTCACATTGGTGGAAGCTTACCCCAAATCATCCGCCCACGACCAAACCAGACCAGGATTCTTCTGAAACATCCTTCCATTGAAGATGGCGTCGAGGCCCTCTTCAAGAAGTTCATTGGCTTGCACGCCATTTGTAATGTTACCAACAGCACCGACAAAAGCTTTATCCTTGACAGCATTCTTAATGTTTTTGGAAAAACCAGCTTGGTACCCGGGGCCGAGTTTGATGATTTGTCCTGGATGGGAGCCACCGGAAGATACATCAATAAAATCAACACCGAAGCTTGCAGCTTTCACAGATAATTGCGCACTATCTTCAAGAGTCCAACCATCAATTTCTGTGTCCTCTAGCCAATCTGTTGCACTAATTCGTAAGAACAAAGGCATTGTCTCGGGTATCGTAAGCCGGGTATCCTGGATTACTTCGAGTAGCAGACGAATGCGATTCTCAAAACTACCACCATACTCGTCTGTTCTCTTGTTGCTGATAGGGCTTAGGAATTGATGAAGGAGAAATCCATGAGCGGCATGGATCTCAACGACATCGAACCCGGCTCGTAAAGCGCGCTCAACAGAGTTTACCCAAAACTTTCTGAAATTTGCAATATCCGAGAGCGTCATTTCTTTAGGTATAAAAGAGCCTTCATCGTAGGCCACGGGACTTGGGCCAATGATGTCATCAGGCCAACCACCTGTCTCTTTAGTTGCATTCTCATTTCCCAACCACGGTGCGACTGTGGAAGCTTTTCGGCCTGCATGAAAGAGCTGGATACCGATGTGTTGGCCCTGCTTGACATCAAAACGTCAGTGCTTGCTCAAGATAAGGAATTTCTGAAAAGAAGACTCATTGAGGGACGGGTATCATAAAACTGAAATATCCAATGGGAGTTGAGTTTAACGACTGTTACGTACCTGAGAATGTGTGAAATCAACAATCGTTTTCAAAGATTCAAGCTGCTCCTCATTCCAGAGTCCTACTCCATTAGGATCGATCCGTCCGTTCTTTGAAACAGCAGTTCCTTCTATCATAGTAAGGCCAGGACCACGTGTGACCCAGCCGCCAATTTGGGACAGATGCCACGGTGTTACTTTTCCGTCTTCGGCCGAGTATTGACACAATGGCGCAACCTACATCAAAAAGCAAAATCATCAATTGTACTTCGTGATAAAACTGCACATAGTCTCGCGAGTACACACCCATATTCTGTTTTGGAAGGTCACGCCTCTAATGGTTAGTGGTTGGAAAAGCTTCGGGATGATTTGAGCCTTCAATGAAGGGCCCACTGCTGTTCCTGATGGAGGATTCTGTGCAGGTGTGAAATATGACTATGGCTGATTAGAAGGGAACGACCAGAGCCATATTCAGGCGGGTAAGAAATGATCGCTCACAACGTTTTTCGCCCTGGCATTGATTGCTTTGGTACTAGAAGGTGCCATCATCGGCCAGGTGATATAAAAATTACTTTTCGTTCCAAGTCAATACTCAACTTTGAGCAATTTATTCCTGGTTGTGTACGGGATAAATGCGGAAGAATAAGTAAGTATGCCAGCTATATGGATGCATGGTTTGAACTTATCGGAAGAAAGGTGTGCTAATGTCTGCCTTGATATGGGTTGACAATTGATTTGAAATCCGAGAGCTTTGAAATTCAGAACTGCTTGATAATCAAATTATATCTAACCATCAAAAGGCGGAACTGAAGGAGCCAATCTTAGTGAGATTAGCTTCAGGGTACCTATTGCGCGCTACAATTCTGGACATGGGTAGTGGTTCAAAGATGTTTCCATTGGTCTAATTGTTACACTCCACTTATCCAACACCAGCTGCCCCATCTTGCTATTGTCTTTCCTACTTTGACTATCTGCATGTGCACTTGAGCTTTTGTTATTATCAGACAGACTCAAGAAAGTGCGTTCTTACGCCAGTCATTCAAGTTAGTGCACTATTTTAGACCACCTCACTGTAAGCCACAATACCCTGCTGAAATGAATCCCTTTCAGATGCGTCTTGAATCTCATCTGGCAGCTTCTTTCTTCGAAGGGAGAAGCTTTAGCTGCATTCGTAACAACTTTGGAATTGGTTCCCAGCTCGCATCTATCAATTGTTTTAAAGTGCAGGCTTGAGGGGCATCCGACGATCCGTTGTAGGTGCTTGACGAACCTTGGGGCCATTCAACTGTTTGCTTTCAGCCATAATACTCTACTACGATTGGAATTCCTCTGGTCTGGAAAAGAGATATTACATACGAACAATGTTTGCTAATTGAAGAGAGGACTAAAAGTTTCCTGTTCTGCTCAATTCAATATCGACTCAATCGCCGCATCAGAATGAATCGCTCACTGTTCTCAATCTTGCTGTTCTCAATAACCCTCATCCTTATTTGTTAATAAGGAGGGACCTCATCTCGATACATAGTTGGTGCTAAACAGAATAAGCTGGTCTGACCTTCACAGTCACCTCAATCGTTGCTCATTTTCAGGCTCTCGAATTCATCAAGTCTTATCAGCGTTTTACATCAATCATTCTCGCATTTTCTCACAAACATGGAGACCTGGCAGCATAAATCATCAGCTAGATTCCCATGAGTATGAGTACACGTCGGGAGATCAACAGACGGTACTGCTGTATGTAGCCTCTGAACGTTACTTGACCCACTTCAGCCTTGTTTGCGACTTGAGCCGGTAGTATCGATTGTATGGTGTTACTATATGTAGTTTTCATAATCAATCGAACGAAGAACAAGAGATTTACCTGTCTCTTTTCAACTCACATCATGCAATTAGACTCTCTAGTCTGAAGGCCCAAGATTGAAGCTTCTTCTTGTCGCGATTGAGGACAGTATTCGGAAAGTATTGTGGCACCTTGGAAAATGTGCGTGTCAAATTGAGAAGTTGCAATAAATCCAGGTCATCCACTTTCATCCCGCATACTTGAGATGACATCGTTGATATCTGAAATACTGTTTCGAACGCCTCCTGGCGATCTGAAGATCTGCGACGTGGAGTAATTCGATGAATGAATGCTTGATGGACAAATGTAAGATGAACATCTTGTGGGGGGAAAGGGTGATTGAAATCGAGGTCTAAGATTGACTGGCAGATCATTTTGGTCGCATCAACTCTCAAGCTTAATTTTCGTCAGGCTCTTCGAATTTGAAGTCATCTGCAGAACTTGTGAGAGATTCTTGTTAACTGAGTGTTCTTGGAACAGACTTTCCTGTAATTCATGAATTTTACAATTATAACTCGTTTGGGAGTTCAGGGGTGTCGCTTCCGGGCATAACCAAGATTTCAACCCCAGTGGTGGTACCACGACAATACTTGGAGGAGAGGATGTTTGTACTTGATTTCAGAGATCCTTCTCCTTTACTTTTAATGGCTTCTTCTCACTTTAGCGGAAGGTAGAATGCTACAATTCTCTATTCTCACCACGATGCGTCACTTTGATGATGTTGATACTTTCAGGTCCCATTTCAACATCGAGATTCGCGAACACATAAGAAACAGTACCTCATCAAAACATAGCAAATATATATATATCAATTGTATTACCTATCATATAACCCCATCCATCTCTCAAGAAAAGAAATCTAACTCCAATTCCAATTCCAATTTCAACGCCGACCCAAAGCCCCGCTCACATGCGAAACGACTCATTAGCCCCCAAATAACCAAACCATCTCTCTCCATCCATACATACATCTATCTATCTATCTATGCCTCTCCTTCTCAGCATACGTCTTATTCCACGGTTTCCTATCCTTAACACTCTCCATCAACGCCGTGCGATCAAAAATCGTATCCCTATCTACCTATTAGCCACTTCCTTTCCTATCCTTTCCTTTCCATCTCCCCTCTCACCATACACCCCGCTCACCAATCACAATAAAATACACATCCACGCACCGATAGAAAATCACAAAAAAGTAATACATACATGGGATCTTGTTCGATATGCGGTTTCGTATGAGCATTGTAGGAATGTAATTGCGAATCCATTCCCGCTTTGATGCTGTGGTGAGGAGAAGGCTTGAAGAGGGCGTTGGCGCCAATGAGTCCCCCGATTGCGGCGACGGTCATGACGATTGCTTCGCGTTTGGCCATTGTGGACATTTTATGGTGGTTGTATTGGGTTGTTGTATGTGGTATTGTGAGGGTAGTAGTAGAAGAAGAGTTTCAATTGATTTTGATATCGAACAATGTGTGAGGAAATGTAATAACTTTTATTTGTGATTGTTATTATATACCGAATATCATAAAAATCCTCCCTCATATCCTCCATCAAATCCATTATATACAATACAATACATACCACTCACTCATCAGCTAACACGATTGTTGTAAAAAAAATAATCCGTAGGATTCCTCACCTCAGACGAAGCGGTCGTACGATAGCTGATGAAATCACCCCACACATCATCTGAGCGGGCGCAATGGACCACCCCGCATTTTGAAACAGCAGGCACTTGTTGGCGAAATGAGGAGAGCATCTCATCTAATTGTTCGATCGCTTGCATAAATGGTCTTTAATCATGATTTTATGTTGTAGATGTCGTACGACCTGTTGTGTGACATATACGTGATGATCAGCATGGCAGTTAGTTTCGGGAAGCGGCTGTGGTTGTTGGAGAGAGGTTGTGGTACCTTCCGAAATGTGTCCCGTGCAAGAAGTCGTTCTATTTTTGCTGTCGATAATAGCCAAGTCAATCATGATTGCAACTAGTTATCGCACACCATTACAACCCCGAAGACCCAGTGAGACTCTCCAAATACAATTGCATAGATTGCACGATCGAATAATACCTTCCAATTCTTCTATCGATTCTCAAAAAAAAAACAAAAAAAAACATGCTTACACCATCCATCTGTTTCATGACCTTAGCTCTCAACTTCCTACACGAATGCCAACGACGACGTTAATAGACAATGGGAGCACTTCGAAATCAAATCACCCTGATCTCTCGTTCTTGAGATTTCCATATTCACCCCTACGCACTGCTGCATGCCTAAATACATGAACATAATGGCCAATGCCAATATTCTGAAAAGTGCTTATTTCTATTTCTGGGTCGCCAAATGGCTTGAAAAGAAGGGATCATAATTGATTTCCAAAGTTTATTCGAGATTAGTATTGCAGTACTTCTTGGTCTGCCTTGTGTGGCACATCTCAAAAGATATCTTTCTCATACCTAGTCATACATAAGAAGCTCTTTAAGCTAACTGATTGTGAATTCATAATTTCAAGTACCGTCGCTGGCCACTATCTCTTCACATCTCGGTTCACCGCTGAAAATACTTTCGCTTTCATCTTCTGAATATTCCGTATCACTATCCACCATTAAAATCTCTATATTTTCCATACGAATTATGAATTCTCTGCGCAACTTTTCGATCCATTCTAGCAATTCTTGATTCTCCATTGGGCTATCAAGAAGCTGTTTGAGTTGCTCTTTTAATGCACTCAGAAGCTTCCTTCGTTTATCAATCGCTGAAGTCCTAGATGACTTTTTCCTGGCAGCAGCTTGTGCAATGAGAGTCTTTGATACATCCTCTGCCACTGTGAGCACTTTTGGAGGTAGATCAACCACACGCGCTAGAGTGAGACCGTAGTGTTGTTCTTTAACACAGCCTTGATCAAGCTTGTAGAGCATTGTCATGGTGGTCGGGTCGTTCATGTCAACTGACAAGTGGTAGACCTTAACCCCAGAGCGCTCAGACATGATTTGTGCTTATTCTTGTTAGCAAGCATACTCATCGGATGATAATGAGTTTTTTCGAACCAAGCTCCTTAAAGTGGGTGGCAAACCAGATGAGTGCTCGGCTCTCTGATAATGCTTCTGCAATGCTTAGAGCGATCGCTAGGCCGTCTCTTGTACTGGTCCCACGACCAAGTTCATCAATTATGGCAAGGCTCTTCTCATCAATATTTCTATAACCAGGGGTCAGTAAAATGAAAATGCGAGAAAAATATGGAATGAACCTAAGGATGAATGCTGTTTCTCTCATTTCAGATGCGAAGGTAGAAACGTTTGCTTCGATACTATCGTCCATTGACACGCGAGCAAAAAGTTGATGAATCATTGGAAAAGATGCGTAGCTTGCTGGTACGAAACAACCAACTTGTGCCATCACACTCATAAGAGCGACCCCTCTTATGTACGTACTTTTTCCGCTCATATTACATCCTGTAATAATTTGAAAACGGGATTGCTGCGTTGCGTAATAGTCGTTGGGTACAAATTTGTGTGATGGCACCTAGAGAGATATGGATTAGTATTTCGAAACGATGTAGATTGAGCCCTACATACCTTGTCACGAATGGGATGACGTCCAGACTTGATAGCAATACAATCAGTAATCTCCGGCCTGACGTAGCAATCTTGGTTCGTGACTAGTTGCCCAAAGGAAGCAATCATATCGAGCATGGCAATACTCTCACACACTTTAAAGAGGTTGGGAATTTCGGTTCGTACATTTTCGAGGAGCTCCTGTATGGTTTTATCACTTCCCAAGATAACTTCTATGTGAGAATCTTCAGTTTTCTGGTTGAGCTTTATCAAGTCCAGAGTCTGGCATTCGAGATAGTGTTTTCTGCGAAACCGATTAATGAGTACATCTGGTATGGCTCGATCATCAAAGTCATTTTCGAAATAGCGAATGTAGTATTTTCGGAGATTATCGAATCTAATTTCCCCTTGAATTTTATAGTTCTCTGCCACCAATGTGAGAAAAATGCAGTACATTAGAAGAAGGTAAGCATACGATTGAGTTCTGACACATGCTGATGTGCGTCTTCCGTCGCCTCTTTGAAGGTTTGGCGTGCTACATCCAAGAAACCACTGACCCCTGCTTTCACAGCATATGTTCGTTGGTTTCGTAGATCTAGAGGAGTTTTCTGGTATGTAACATCCTCATTTATGACCTCATCAATGAATTGTATTGTAGATTCGACCACTTCCGTACGACAATTATTACGTATCTGAACCAATAGCTCTGATCGAGCACCTGATAGACTCTCAAAGACTGGACCGATAGAATATGCAAAAGATTTCAACATCAGAATGTTGTTGATATCTTGCTCAGAATTCCAAATACCTGGCACAGTCGGGATGATAATAAGCTACAGAATGTCAGGGGATGTTGGCACAAACAAACAGACTCGGGGGCATACACAAGTAAGCAACTTTTCAATATCAGGAATCAACTTCAAAGCTACAACTTGATTAGTAAGGGACGAAATATGGGAGTATGATTGGACTATGCGTCGACAGGAAGAGCGATGAAACCATTTCCACATCGAGAGCACACAAAAATATGGACGTCGGACTGACCTTGTCTGATCTGTAAGAATATGTCATCATTTTCCGACAACTCGGCCAATGCATCGTAACGGGCAGCTAGCAGGGTTGACTGGGTCGAAGGTTGTAAAATATTACTTCTCAACAGTCGTGATCCCATTGGTGTCAGCGTTTCGTTCATCAGTCCAAATAAACAATCTTTTGACTTGGCATTCTGCAAATTCTGGATTAGTTCAAGTGATTGAATAGTAGCAAGATCTATCATCATAGAGTCCTCCGAGGGCTGGTATTTAACTCGGAGAGAATGAAATGCAAAAGTAAGCGACAGGCTCATATCAATGTATTTCAATGCCTTCATATGTTGTATATGTTAGAAAATATCACGAAGAGGGGCGAAGGCCGCTGTGAAAGCTTACAGCAGAAAAGCAGCATACTGAGAAGTAATTGCCTCCGATAGCCACCTTGATCGCCTCGAGATCTTCTTTGAATGCCAATTGCTGGATGTATTCAATACCAGACGTTTCTGACCAGTAACGACGATCTACTGTAACAATTCTGGCTCCCAATATGTTCTCTTCCACAATTTGATACATCTTAGATTTCGGGTTCGGAGGCCCGGAAGTAGACACAATCAAAATCTGGGTAGGTTCGAAGACCTGTAATTTATGAAGAGTTTTGACATAGAACTGATTGTCGCAGATCTGACTGAGGACTGCTTCGCCAGTAGAAATATTGACAAATGCTAACCCGACAGTCGGAGATACTCCACGACCTTCACTGACAGCACAAATGATCTGCTGAGACTCACCCCCTCCAAGAATGGAACTTGCTCGTGACCTACGTCCAGTGCTTGGGCGGACTGTACTGGGACGCGCAGTGCTTGAGCGAGGACCATGAGGAGGCAAGGAATACGAATTAGAGTTTGTATACCCACATGGATAAGACGTAGAGTTAGTACTGTAAGATGTTGAGGGTCTTGATAATGAAGCCATTCTCAATATCACCTAGCATTCCTTTGAAATATATGTGTCGTCGAATCTGTGGAAGTATCACAAGTTAACCACTAAAGTATTAGTTTGGGTATCAAAGTGGATGGATGGATTGTTCATTGCTGAGATCCAACGAAGATATGACTCTTCTTCCCGTATCAACGGAATTAGCTAATTGAATTGTGATTGGAATTGTAACGAGATGATGTGATGATCAAGTGAAGTGACGATGAATGATCTTAGTCCTCATTTATGAATGGATACCACTACTCTAGTATCTAGTAGGCTCGGTAGGTATGGCGAGAGATGGAATTGTTTGCATGTGAAGACAAGAAAAGATTGGCAGGAAATGTGGGGAGAGTCCTGGAGAGTGCGCAGAGCAGATCATCTTGATGGGGTTACTGTAGATTGCATTCCTTTGAACGATTGGTCTGTTGATCAATGACTAATCAAATCCTTATCGATGATAAGCTAATAAGGCTAACCCCACAAATTATTTTTGAAAAAAAGTTGAATCAAGACGCAAGAATTCACTTTTAGTCTTGTTAGTGTAATAATCCTTGATTACTATAGATTTCCAGAGATACCCCCGCACAAGACTCTTCCTCTTTTCTTATCTACGTCCTCTCTATCAGAACTTGCAAAGAGGCAAGTCTTTTTCTCTTAAATCCTCTGGAAATACACTATCAATCGCATTCTAAACCTCCTCAATCATGTCGACCCAACTTCCACCCCCAAGCAAAAGGCAGAGAACGGATGCTTTAGAGAGATCGAGAGCGCAACAAGACATTGAGGAAATACCCAGCGATGCAGGAAGTCTTCGAATCCAGTTCTTCGACGAAACTACAGGTCTTCCTATCGGTAATGGGCCTGTTCTCGTACCAGTCGCAAATGCAGACCCAAAGAACCTGGAGCTATTGTTGAATACTCTTTTGGGACATGTAAGTTTGCTATTTTTCAAGAATGTCACGGAAACTCTAGGCCTATCATTGTTTGTATATCTTACAGACAATCAAAAGGCTGTCATTGTTGGCTTCGATTATGAACGTTCAAACCTTACGGTTTCTCATAAACATTCTGAAGATTGAAGGCTTTTGATTGTTCACAGATATTCTGAAGATTGAAAATTTATGATTGTTTACAATGGTTTTGAATATTTAAAGCTAACAATTATCCCAGGACTCTTCAGAGTATATTCCTTACAGATTCACCCTACCCGTATCAGACAAGAAGACCGCAGAGAAGATTACAACTGCCTACCCTACAGAAGTCTACAAGACCTTGATAAAACCGGGTCTAATAAGTACCGAAGAGACCCAAAATATTTCAGCGGCACCACAAGCTGTTTTCAAAGTCCAATCTGTTTCGAGATGCGCTTCTACGATTCCCGGCCATGGCGAATCCATTCTAGTCGCTCAGTTTTCTCCAAGGTCCTCCTCCAGAATGGTCAGTGGTAGCGGAGACAATACGGCACGTATATGGGACTGTGATACAGGAACTCCGGTACACACGTTAAAGGGGCACACAAGTTGGGTATTGGCTGTTAGTTGGTCGCCGGACGAGTCGAGGATTGCGACGGGTAGTATGGACAACACTGTCAGGATATGGGACCCTAAAACCGGAAAGCAATTAGGCAGTCCAATGAAGGGGCACTCAAAATGGGTCACAAATCTTGCTTGGGAGCCGTATCACGTTCAAAAACCGGGAGAACCTAGACTCGCCTCATCCTCTAAAGATTCTACTGTTAGAGTATGGTCGACTAATCAACAGAGGATTGAATTGGTCTTAACTGGACACAAAGACGCAGTATCATGTGTCAAATGGGGAGGAACTGGATTCATTTATACCGCATCTCGCGATAAAACTGTCAAAGTTTGGAATGCAAAGGACGGAACTCTCGCACACTCTCTTAATGCTCACGCGCACTGGGTCAACCATCTCGCACTATCGACAGAATTTGTCACGCGAACCGGCTACTTCGACCACACCGGCAAGGTCCCTGCAACAGAGGAGGAAAAGGTCAAGAAAGCAGAGGAACGTTTCCTCAAAGCCTCCCGAATTCAGGGTGAAGTCGTGGAACGCCTTGTCACAGCCAGTGACGATTTCACCATGTACCTCTGGGAACCTTCCAAGCAAACAAAGCCTATAGCACGAATGTTAGGTCATCAAAAACAAGTGAACCACGTAGCTTTCTCGCCCGATGGACTACTCATTGCCTCTTCTGGTTTTGACAACCATACCAAGGTCTGGAACGCCCGTGATGGAAAGTTCATCAATACATTGAGAGGTCATGTTGCACCCGTCTACCAATGCGCCTTTAGCTCTGATTCTAGGCTGTTAGTGACATGTAGTAAGGATACAACACTGAAAGTATGGGATATGGCAACTCACAAGTTAGCTAAAGGTATGTTTACAACACAATGTTCCAATCTAAGTTCGACTTTCAAATGCATATTAAAGCTGACAATGATCATAGATTTACCTGGCCATAAAGACGAAGTTTATGCCGTAGACTGGAGCCCAGATGGAGAAAAAGTGGGTAGCGGTGGAGCAGATAAGGCAGTGCGCATCTGGAGACATTAAATAAAGATACGTAGTAATACAATAATTGCTGACCTGGGAGCTCACTTGATTGTCAAATTCGAATTGGGACATTGAAAATATGGATTGAAAGGACTGAGGCTCAAGGTTGTGGCTGGAAAAGAAAAGGGCTACCTAGGTACTCAATGGCCGGAATCTTTGGAGATTAATTATTCAATTGTCGTATTTCGAAAGGGACAATCAAAGGGACCTGGTCAAGCAAGGGGCCTTTCGATCCCGGAATGTCAATCGGCATTGAAAAGTATCGTATGGTTTCACAATATTTGAGCGTTGGGCCTCAAACAAGAAATTGTAACCCGATAAAAGTTATACTTCAAAGCCAATAATTATACAGATATTTTTGTTTCCTTATGTTACTTATTCCCTAACAAACATCCCTGCCATTCCCATTCCGGTACCAATACACATACTGACAACACCCACCTGTTGATCTCTTCTCTTCAACTCTGCCAACAAACCTGCCACCATTCTTGCTCCAGTAGCACCCAATGGATGACCCAATGCAATGGCTCCCCCCTTTGGATTCACATCGCCCTTCTCATATGCACCCATTAATCCCAATTCCCTCACACAATAGATGGCTTGACTGGCAAATGCCTCGTTAATCTCCCACACATTGACCTCTTCCTTTTGAATGCCAGCTTGCTCCATCAGCTTTGGAATGGCGAGCGCAGGTCCAATTCCCATTTCATCGGGACGACATCCAGCTATCGCTGTACCGGCCCATTTGCCAATAATCGAAGAAGGTAATCCAAGTGAGGTGGCAGTGCTACGACGCATCATCAATGTAGCTGCTGCACCATCAGAAATCTGCGACGAGTTACCCGCAGTCGAAGCACCGTCCTCCTTGAACGCAGGCTTTAGCTTCTGCATGCTCTCCAACGTAGCACCCTTTCTAATCCCATCATCTTTTGTAACAGTAACTTCCTTAGGTTCTCCTACTTTCACACCTCCTTTGCCAGTCTCCTGCCACATCGTAGTAACCGGTACGATTTCCTCATCAAACCACCCCTTCTCCTGTGCCTCCGCCGCACGGCGATGACTCTCCACCGCCAACTTATCCTGTTCTTCTCTGCCAACTCCATATCTACTCGCGACATTCTCACTCGTAAGACCCATTGGCATAATACAATCCTTCGTATCTCTCTCCGCATCCTTCAGCTCCGGCCACAAATCCACAGGAATAGCTTTCGAACCATAATTCCTCGTCATACTTTCCATTCCGCCTCCAACACCGATATTAATCCCGCCCATCGCAATCGAATTTGCAATGTTAGTAATAGCCTGCAATCCCGAACTGCACGCGCGGTTGGCCGTCGAGAACGAGGTGCGGGTATCGTAGCCCGCGTGGTTCATAGCCATACGGCCGGCTTTCGAGCCGCCGAGCTCAGAGAGAACAACACCGACGCATACGTCGTCGATGAGCGCGGGGTCGAGAGAGGGATTGGCGGAGAGTGTGGCTTTGAGAACGCTGTGTAAGAGTTGTTCGGGGTAGGCAGAGGAGAGCTGTCCTTTGTAGGAACGGGTTATGGGAGTGCGGAGGGAAGAGAGAATTACGATGTCTGAGGGGTCTTTTTTGAGGATCTGCGAGAGACCTCTGCGAAGAGGTCCGGTTGACATGGTGGTTTGGGATGGAGGGGTACTTAATTCTTGACGATTTGGTGTCAATTGAACGTATTCCTATCTCAATTAAACACGACGAGTATGCAAAATACTGTAATGATAGAAGAAGAGAACATAAATAGAAGGAAATAAGAAAAATCTGTAACTTACAGCAAAACTTACCCCATTCATTGATTAACAGGTTTCCTGGGGAAGAGAACATCGGCATTGAAGTTCGGGGAGATGTAGTGTGTGGAGAATCCGATGTCTGACCCAGCCAATCACAAACGACCAGCCGCTTAAGACCTTATCCGTGATTTTTCATTCCTCCAAGACAACTTACTCGAGTATCAAGAAATTCAGGTCACTTGGAACTCGGAAGATGTTCAAAAGCCAAGTCTGCAGTGATAACACAAAATATATATTTACCATGTACTAAGGCTCTATTGAAATAGGAAGATTGCATTGTCTCAGAATCTCAAGCCAGGATTCGTCTGACACTTCTGCACTCCGCCACAGGGGAATGTTATGAGTGTCGTATTTTAGGATCAATGATAGACGAATCGAAACTGAAACATGGTGTCTTCTTCGTCAACGGCACTGCTGGAAGATTATCACGAAACATAATGACCTGTGTTCCAGCTTGGCTCGGGGATGCTGGTTGTAGAACGGACAAATTCAAAGCAAAGAAAAGGGTATAAATTTGCCTTGCTCCTTCAACGCCCCCATGGTATTTAAATTTAGTTGTACATGAAACATATGAGATAGATTAGCCACCGGCATGTCATCATACAATGGTGCCGCACTCCTCCGCCCCCTCACAAATACATGAACATATGAAAAGAAAACTCCAGCAACCAGGCCAGTTTCCTCCTATCCAAAGCACGACCACAAGCGAGATCATGCCATCGCTAAATTTTCGCTCCATTGCCAGCAACGACTAAGCCTCAAAGCCAATTTCTCTCCTGGAATTGAAGCCGCCGGTTGGCTCACACAGATCCAACCACATAGTTCCAGTTGTCAATGGGCAGGAACGGGTGGCAGTTTGATCGGGGGTGTTGTACGCATCCTTGCATAGAGCACCTGCAGGGCACTTGAGCTTCACGCAAGTTCCTGACCCGCTGCCAGTACCAGATGGAGTAACTTTCACGTTATCATTCATGAAAGGGGTTCCAACCAGCCCGGCCCCGGAACCGTCCAGATCGCTGAGATCCCAGTAAAGGGAAGAGTATTGGCCAGTTGTCCAGGCATATTCGAATTGAAGAACCGAAGGTGTGGTTTTCCAGTTGGATGTCTTGGCGATCTTGATTGATGTTCCATGTCCATCAGTGTCCCATGGAAGGGTAAGAGTGCTGCTAGATCCCTTGCCTGCTTTGATAATCCAAGGGCTAGCATTGGAAGCAGTAGAGCAAGCTCCATTGGTACCGGTATTGCAACCTCCATTGTTTGACTTGTAGAGGTATACATCTGTGGAACACCTAGACGCACGTTAGAAATAACTTGGAAGATGTTGAAAGTAAGTGTACTGACCAATTGTTGATAATAAGCGAAGCAGATGCCGTTGAGGCCAGGGCAGCAAAAGCTGACAAAGCAAAGGAGTAATGCATTTTGCAAATATATGTATGGTTTTTGAAACAGAAAAGAATGTGGGTAGGACTAAGCCTGAAAGCAAGGAATGACGATAAGCTAAAAAGCTTTTGAGATATTGGAAACGAGAAATAGGGAAACTTGATGATGCAAAAAGAACATCTTCAGTGGAGAACCTTGAGAATATATAGAGATAGGATTTACTTTGAAGCACTTGCAGAAAATCAGCCAAAGAGGATCTGACGAACGAGTTTCCATACATGCTCGGCATAGTGGCTCAGTGTATACGGAGGAATGAACAAAATTGTGCACTTTTGAAATAACAGAAGACGTGACCCTGCCAAACATAACTTTTACGATAGAGTAGCTTCTTAGACACGTTTCGCATGCTGTTGATGTAAGGTTGACATTCTCGAATTTTACTGGGTATGATTTCGCAGGATGAGGATGACATACCTGGAAAAATCATGTTCGCTTCTTGTGGTAAGTGTCTCCTTTTGGGAGTAGATGTAACGTCAGCTGACACGAAATTGAGCCAAGACCAGCCTAAGGGCTGCGCAGTGTTTCTTGAAATGGGTTCCTGGTCAGATTGACGAGTATTTTGAGATTGAATCTTGTCAGATTTACTTATTGGTATCGGGGTAATTATACTTTGCTGGGGTAAAGCCACTTCCGTGCTTGCCATGTGCAAGCAAGTTTTATCTTCGATTTCTAGTAAATTCTAATGGCATCTTGATTTAGACTCAAATATAGCTTTTATTTGAGGGGTGGAGAAAGTTCAAAGAGTGACTTTGAACTTTTGAAACATTGCTTGCTCTCAACTGGAGATCAGCGAATCCGGCACAGATTGATCATTGACACCCCAAGGATGATCAACCTTAAAAACTTCTTTGGAGGAAGGAAGATAGTTGCAGCCATACATTCCTTGTGCTCAGCCAAGATTGCTTCCTCTAAAAGATCTTTTCGTAGATTTTACGTACGTGGACTACAGTTCATGATAGTATCAGGACTGAGAGGGGCAGTTAAGGTCCGTGATACTACAAAGTCATGCCCTGCACCTCTTAACGTTAACAATACCTGCCGCATGCCAAAATAGCTTTTTCAAACACACCTTCCTTTATCAGAATGTTACGGAGTTTCAAATCATTTACCATTGGAAATCCCCCAAATCTTTGCTCCTCATAGTATCGTGGAGTAAAGGCACCATAAATCGATTACTCGGAGTATGTCGCCATTTTTGACGGTCTCCATTGTTTCCCTTATCATACTACCATAAAAATAGCATGTTCCAAGAATTTGTGAGGCCCAACATCTCTCTGAAGGAATGCCAAATGTGTTGCAGACGCCGCATTCGGTAAAGGAAAGATATACTTGAAGACATATTGAAGACTGGCTAGATTTCATATCCCATGTTATTAATGATGCTTTAAATATGGGCGAGGCGAGATTGTGGAATGTTTTTGTACCGTACTGGTATCGATCTGAAGCCAAACGAGCAATCAATTGCCAACTCCCACAAGACTTATTAGCATCGCATAAAGCCTACCCAACTAAGAAGTTTGAAACCTAATCATGCCTGCTATGTAAGAACTTTGGAGCAATGATACTACTTAGTATCCACCTTGCTGGAAAGAGATAATTCCTAGATCCCGGGTTCAAGTGTGCTCAAATAACGGGCGAGATAATGACATGCTTTGGACGTACACAAATTCGAGATGTCATTTCCAACGAAATGCGCAATCAAGTTGCATTATTTCTCATTGCCAACAGCATGTTCAAATTCATCACTTGATGTTTTACCAAAGCAGTTCACACATGTGAACAGCTCCCCAAGCTCGCTTGCACAGATGTTTTCAAACTCCACCACACTCTTGGCAATTGATAAAGGACATGCCTACTATTACCCACAGTGTGCTTGTTCCATCGAGTTAATCCATCACTGAACAAATTATTCAACAGCAGTTTCTAACGACGCGTAAATGTGCAATGTAGAGATTTCCCAGTACTGTGGAAGAAAGAACGGTGGATGTTGTGGCCAAACTGGCTCAGAATGGTTACTCGATTTGCTAGCTCCGATCAATACACAAGCACAAGATGCTGGATCTAATGGATCGGATCTCAAGTTTAGCAAGTGGCAAGAATTAAAAGTCGTGCCTTACTTATGCCTGGTCCATAGCTTTTGAGCCTGAGAAATGTAGCATATAGCATTACCTAAGTAGTCTAAACGTCATAGAGTGAGTGTATTGCAATCGCTCTTTAACACATTTTCCGAATACGATAATTCCGGACCCAATTGAAGCAGTGGACAACCAATCACATGCTCCATTCATCCTACATCACATGATATGGAACATTCTGCAGGTACTCAGTTATAGCCGCGCCAGGATCTACTTGGAGCCGCTCTTGACTACATACCCAGGTTAAATCTTCCATGGACTCCACGACGTTGACTTCCGAACAATGAATGTAATGTAACATAATGTGATGGTGATATTGTTAGCTTTGTACGGGTTGGAATTATATAAATGATATAAAATATACGAATAAATATGATCTTGGCGATAGAAACAAGGATGCATAGCTCAAACTTGGTATATATTGAAGATAGACGGTAATAATTTTACCTAGGTAATTGAATCAAAATACTAATAATTGGTCGGGACCCGGCTACAAATTTACGGGAATAACCTCACCCGCTTTTTTCCGTTTTTTGATTTGAATAAAACAATCTCTGATTGGTTGATCTCGTGAGGTAAGCGACTTTTGTCGGTATTTCGGTTCAAGAGCAGTTTCGCCTTCTCCACAACTTCTTAAATGCAATTGACAACTTTGTTTGTGATTTTGTCTCGATCCTTTGACATTTCAAACAAGGGCTCTCTCTCTCCATCTTACCATTGATACATACAACATTGTAATAATACTCAACTACCTTTCGAACCTATTCACCTTATCCAATTGATCCTGATATTCCAACTCCACTCCTCCATAATGGCTTCTCTCCGCACAAGTGCCCGCAGTGCACGCGCGATATTCGCCGCAGCACGACCAGCTTTCAGAACACAGATGCGAACTATGGCATCAGTCGACAGTGCAGCACCTCCAAGTCCTACCGTTTCTCCATCTCGTCCTGTGGAATCTGCTTCCAAGACTTCTACTGTCAAGGAACCTGCTGCCGACTCTGAGTCTTTGATCAAGACGTTCAACATTTACAGATGGAACCCAGATGAGCCAACCAGCAAGCCCCGCATGCAATCTTATACTTTGGATCTCAACAAGACTGGACCTATGATGTTGGATGCGCTTATTAGAATCAAGAATGAGGTCGACCCTACTCTTACATTCAGAAGATCCTGCAGAGAGGGTATCTGCGGTAGTTGTGCAATGAACATTGATGGAGTAAACACATTGGCTTGTTTGTGTACGTCAATCAACAACTCGGTATTAAAACACATTAGCTGACTATTTATTCTATAGGCCGCATTCCAAGAGACGCTAAGCACGAAACAAAGATCTACCCACTACCCCACACCTATGTTGTCAAGGATATTGTTCCAGATTTGACACAATTCTACAAGCAATACAAGTCTATCAAGCCATATCTTCAACACACCGACCCAGCACCAGAAGGAAAGGAATACTTGCAATCTAAGGAGGATCGTAAGAAGCTTGACGGACTTTACGAATGTATTCTTTGCGCATGCTGCTCGACATCTTGCCCCTCCTACTGGTGGAACAGTGAGGAGTACTTGGGACCAGCTATCTTGTTGCAAAGTTACAGATGGCTTGCGGATTCCCGTGACCAGAAGAAGGAAGAACGTAAGGCAGCTTTAGATAACAGCATGAGTTTGTACAGATGTCACACCATTCTCAACTGCTCGAGGACATGTCCGAAGGGATTGAATCCAGGTTTGGCGATTGCGGAGATTAAGAAGGAAATGGCTTTTTAAGAAGCCTTTAAATGATATCAATGTGGGGACATGATGAGATAGCATTTCAGCAATGGGTTGTGGTGTTTTGGGCGGTTATTGCTAAGTCTGTTTGTGTAGATAGGAAGTACAACATGAATTTATCAGTACAACTTTGGTTTTCCTTTTCAACATTGTCCTCTAAGCCAAATTATTGTCCGTGAATGCAAAGTGAGAGAAGAGCAAGGAAACTCTATCAAAATTTTCATGGTCGATTCTGACGTATACCACATACTACAATGTTCCCCGTTGCTTCAAAGAATCTTTTCGGCGGTCTCGATAGCAGTAATAATCAATCTTCATGGTTTTGATGACCAACATATTTGGGGTGTTAAGTCTCTTCAGAAAGATGAGATTATGTTCAAAGGGTCATAATATACTGAAGATGCAGTCTCTTCAATTGACAAATCATTTCCCCTCGGACCTCTGATATCTCAATGTCAATATCGAATCTAGACATTGAAAGATGTCTTACCACTTTCATTTGGGTATTATGTTCTTGATTATTCTGTGGGCTCCACCTCTGCTTGAGGGGTATAGAGCTGCGATGACATGCTTAATTAGCCGAAGGATGAACTGGGAAATATCAAAACCTCGGACAGACATAATGGTCTAATATCCATAGGGGCTGATTGTAGAAATCCAAAGCAGGATATTGGGATACCAAATATCGCGTTGCGTAAAAAAGAACAACTTCACCACGATCCATGTCAGACCAGAAGTAGATTTTATTTCTCTAGATTCATGTCATTCTCCGATCCACTGTCTGCGAGACAACCTCAACCTAGAAGTCCTATGCTAGGCCATAATTGTTTTAATTATTGACCGCTGGAGGAGGTATGTGCTCATACGAAATATGGAAGCGTTCGACAAAGCCTCTGAGACGCATAAAGGCCAATGCCGTCCGCAGTCTGTACCTATCAAGTTCCGCCACGCGGTTCTGATTCAATTCCATCAGATGTTGCTTAAGTTCCGGTTCACCAAGTTGCCAAACGACCCCAATGCATCGAATTGCGATGTTATTGATACTGCCAGGAACGTAGTGGCCCCCAATTGTGGAAAGGATCGAATTCACCAGATCGACATTATCGCTGTCTGTCGGGAATAAACAGGTCTGAAACCAGGTTGACTCTTCTTGAACTCCTATGGCTGTTTGGAGATGACTAGGTCCTATCCGTTTGAACTCAACTGCTGCTTCATCCATAGTGAAAATATGCGCACTGTCTTTTGGGGAATTGCAGATTTCAATTCATGACTGATAAGTCTGAATTTTTGTCTCTATATAACAATTTGCTCATGTCATGGAGACTATCCAGTGGAAAGAGCACTGAAGAAAGTGATCGTGAAGATGACCCATGGATATGCCACGAATTATGTTTGCTAATGAAGGATGGAATTCATCTTAATTGTGACTGCTCCTAACAGGGCATATCAGGAGTTCTTGTTTTAGTCACACTGGACTTCGGATATCTGAATAGATTGTGGATGAAACCCCTGTGACTGCCTCTTCGTAGGAGAAAAAACAGGCCCGAATTGACTACTGGCAAAGCCCTTCAATAATCCAATTATTCCATTTCAATTCAGAGAATCAGATATTGAGATGATTTTTACACTCGAAGATTATTGAAAGGTTTATTCAATGTTATTGACTTCTGTGATTTCATATTGATCGATTTATTATAGAATTTATTACGATGATTAATTTTTGCCTTTTTCTTCTCCCAAGTAGAGACTGCCTATCTTTCAATCCTTGAACCTGTAACTTTTGTTTGCCCTGGTGTATTTCTCTTCTCATGCTTGTATTTTAGTCATGCTACAGGAAGAGGCTATCGTTTGCTACCACACAGTCTCCGCTGTCCACGAGATGTTTCTGCAAACATTCTTACCTTCACTTACCTATAGAACGGTCCGGAACCGCTTACTTCGGAATGTATCAAAATTCGAATCGCAAACGAGACCCTGCTAATCGCCACTTACTCAGCACTTCTCAATAGTCGGTGTAAAGGATTTCTACGATGGCTAAAGTAACAATTAGATTCACACAAGTGAAAGATTCTTCCCCGCCTTCAACCCTAGATTTCCAAGAATCATGGGATATGCAACACGACTTGCCATTCATCCACCCAGATGATGGCCCGGCCAAAATCCTATGGGATTTCGTCACCAAGCTGATCGGAGAGAAACACAACTGCAGCGTGGAATGTGTCTTGATTCAAAGTATTGCCGTTACGTTTTCGGTGGGGAGACTTGGGATGGAAGAGTATCAGTTTGTCGAGGCGGAGACGTTGGAAAAGAGATTGAAGGAGTTGGGGGGTGGCACCTCGATGGTGGAGGTGCTGCATGTGGTGTATGGGATAGTTGGATCTTGAGGTTCGGTAAAAGAGGAAGGGGGGGGTTAAGGGTCTGTTTTGATGGATGATTTTAGTGTGTTGGAGCTTTTGGATGGGAGTGTGAGATGGGATAGATTGGGGGGCCCGAGACTACGGGAGGGGTTGGAGTGACGATAGAAATGATGGGATAATAGCCAATGTTCTAAGATCTCTTCACATTATTACACATGGTCGGATCATCTTTATTTGATTTATGTATGGAGGTTCAGGATTTTGATGTTGTTTATTGCTATACTTCGCTTAATACCGATCTTCTTTAGCTCATATGGTAAGATCTTTTCTGCATCCAAACTTGATTTCAATAAGAAATTTTTGTCGAGTTGCATATGGTATGTGCTCAACGGTTGTGGAAATTTAATCCATCATTAATCATCTCTGATGGGTAAAGCAAATGGAGGGATAGAAAATGCGAGATAAATATTGAAGCTAAGGGCTGAAAGGTATGGAAAGTGGCACGATTCCCCAAGCAACTATCAATATCGAATTTCTGCTCTGCTTTTCATCTCCTAAAGATAGGTGAGTTCTTTAACCCTTCAAGCGAATTGCTTGACAATATAAACATGCTCCCCATCTCCAAAAGTTCCAACATAATACACAGACCAAATATCAAAGCAGGAAAAATACACATCGTCAAACTTTCATCATGTCTATGGTCATAGTCCGATTCACTCGGCTCCCCACGCCACCCCTCACAGTCAACGCCGGCAACGCGCACGACTACGAACCCTGGTACGAAGCCATCCAGATCATCTGGAATTCCTCTGGAAACCAAGCATGGAAGGCACTCTCCACCAACACCCTGTCTTCCATCCACAACCACTACCGCGACTATAAGTACTGGAACTACAAGATCTGCAAGATGGAAATCATGTGGAAGCTGAGCCGCGGCCAGAATGCCCCACAGGTGCTCTATGAGTATGGAGTCAATGATGAGTATTTGACACTGCATGAGGGACAGCATAAGAGAATCGAGACGGCGTTGGCGTTGCAGAATAGGGCGAATGGGGATTTTATATGTGTGACGTATCAGGCAGGGCCGTCGAGTCAGGGACAGTTGGGCGTTGTTTCGTTTATGGAGTTGGAGAAATCTTGAGGGGGAAGGATTGAGGGTTTATTGTCGGGTATTGGTGAAGCGTGGACGTGAGATGCGGATGGGGCGTTTTGAGTGTTGAAGGATGGGAGAGGAAGGAAATTGATGATTAATGGAAAGTAGCCGGATTTTGGGATGGATAGGAATACAAGCTACATTGTGGATATGCGGACGCAAGGAATTTTTGAATGTTCTCCATGAACACATCAACTGCTTGACAAGAGAAATGGTTTCGACAAAAGAAAAAGGTCTTGATTATCGTGAGAGATATAGTACTTAAGATCTTTCAAATCTTTCAAAGATCCTAATCATCATAAGAGGTTTAACAAACATGACCAGTACACTTCCTTTTACATCGATGGATTCCAAGCGAGCGAAATTTCTTTAAGGGGATTCCTTTGCGGTGATTAGCAATATATCCATACTACTTTTCTTCTTCAGTCAAATCAATAGCTGCATGGGTTCTATTTTCATAACTTTTGTGTTTTACATAATTAATGGCTTGCATGAATAAACATTGCTTGTAATATAGAGACATCTTTGCCATGATTGAATTCTTAGTTTAACGACAGACGACAATAGAGATGAATGTATTCTTTGTTGCGAAGTAGTAAATAGATTGTTCTGAAAGAATGATTGGATGTTGACAGTAAATTCCAATGCTTGCTTCCCTTTGAAGAAATAAGAATAGTCATATGATCTTTCATATTGACAGTAAACCCTGACTATAAGAACGTACCAAATTTCCCCTCCACTCCCTTCTTCTAGGCCACAGAATTTTAAAAGATCACAGGCAATCCGACTTCATCTTCATACAACATGAGCATCTTATCAACAAAACTCCTCGTCGAATTCAAACCCGAATCATCCAAACCCGAATCATCAAAACGACCAACCGACGCATCCCAGCACAAAGCAATTGAAGTCGTCCTCTCCGACGATGCATACCAGCAATGGTTGAATCTTCGGACATCTCTCCTCCTCCATCTCCGCAGCTTCACGGATGATGATTCAAGGGCAATCACAAAGGTTCACGTTCTATGGAATGTTCTGCACAGCTATATAGAAAAGCAAGACTTGCAATGGTCTTCGATTTTTGTGAAAGCGGATGAGATCTTTGAAACACAAGAGTCGGTCGATGGAACTCCGGAACCGGAAGCCAAGCGGAATGAAGAAAGGTGTAAGGATATAGTGACTGCGTTGGGGTTGATGAGGGTGAGGGATAATTGGGATCGTTTGTGTGTTGAGTACATTGTGAAAGATGCTGGTGGTAAAAAACAGCTATCGGAAGAAGCAAGACAATACCAAAAATTCAAGGGTTTGTGAATAAAGAAGCTTGAAAAATAGGGGAAAGATCTTACAACATACGCTAGCGCTGTTCCAGATGGATTGAGTGTCCCATTTGACCCGGGAGATGGCAGCATGACTTTAAAATAAATCAAATACAACCCATCATTGAATCTCTGCCATCCAAACATGTGTGTTCGAATGGACCAGATCCTTATCTGTGGCAATTGACTCTCGCTTGAGACTTCTATGTATGGCATACAGAATTAAAAAGTAATGTAAGAAGTGAAATGAGTCAGGCACGCCAGATGTGTACTTAAGAACCGATGGTACGAATACATATCCTACCAAGTTCAATCTTTCCAACAGGACACCCTAATATGAGCATATTCAGAAAGAGATTTAAGCTCCCATTCATGTCATCATCAAAACGAGAAGAATGTGGCATGCAAAGAGCTAGTGACATCGCGCATATTCCAAGTTGTCAGATATCCGTTAGCGAACTTGAAACAAAATTCAACATCAAAGACATTAATTTGCTCTATTCTTACAGATCCGGATGTTAAATCTCGTATTGTTCACCTTAAACCCAAAAGACCAAGGATATCATGCTTGTGAAAGAACGCCCGATTCCGCTTTCCGAATACATCTAGAGTAAGTATCAGTAAGTTTTCTAAAACATTATCATCAACTAGAACTTACACATTGGAACACTTAGCAGACAAATGCCAACTTGGATACTTGAAATGATCATAAAAGTATCATAAACGCCATTCTTAACAAGCCACTCGTATCCACTCCATGTGAGGCCAAAACTGAAGAAGTTCTTAAATATCAAAAGGCAAGTAAATGCTTCGATAGCGATGTCCCCTATATCAATTGTTAAAATCATGCATATTAGATTCGAAAAGAGTAAATAGAAATGGGAAAACAAACTGTGCGCGTCAACAATATAAAGAGAACTAAAAATGTTAGCTAAGCTATTCTCCAAGATTTAAAGCGTGGGAGAAGAAGCTCACCTAGCTACAGCTCCAATTACCATTCCCATAACCTCTAAGCCGAAGAAGAAAATTGGCCAAAACCAGCCAAAATCCACTGGTCTATTTGCCGTAATCCCAAATCCATAAAGCCCCGCGCACCCAAAGATAAACTGTGGAATCACCAACAAGATTCTGAATTCTGGCTCGTATATGCCCTTGTTCTTTCTCGTCATATATTTGGCACTCCAATCAGAGAGAACACCCGCGACAATGAAACCAAGAATCGCGCCGACGAACGCACCCGTATAGGCATAGCCAGTTTTGACTTCGTCCCAGAAAAGAGGAGGACCAAGAAATATTGCCGCAAGAATGATTCCGATGAAGACGGTCCAGCCGATAAGGGCTCCTTGAATAAGACAGGCCCAAAAGATTGCTGGTTGAAAAAACAGAGGGAATGGGCGCAAACAAAGTTTCCAGAAACTTTCGTCGGAGTAGCGACCACTAAATGACATGAGAGTGCTCCTGTAATTTGATTTGCCTTTGCCATATGAAATGTGCGTTCTAGGCTTATCATGCGGGGACAAACTACTATTACTATTTGCGGTGACGGTGGTTTCTGTCGTGTTAGGTCCCCGAAGTACTTGTTCTAATTCATGGCCTGGTTTCAGTATAAATTGGTCTATTTCGTCGATCGATGCTAGATCGGTGTTCAAATGAAGAGGCCGTACATATGCGGTTTCGGGAACCAAAAAGATCACAAGTGGCAGACAAACTCCAACGAAGATAGCGACAAGGTAGAACGACCATGGCCAACCAATTGTATGGGTAATTTTACCAACTAAGATTGGTGTGAAGAAACATCCACCAAATACTGCAAGGTTAGTCAAAGCCATACGTTTACCACGTTCATGAACGAAATATATGTCGCCAACGGTAGCGTTGACTAAAGCTTCGAAGGGAGCTGTTCCTATCCCTTGAAATATCCTTGCCCAAACCAGACTTGCATAAGATTTGGAAGCACCTCCCCAAGCACTTGAGAAAATCAAGATTACCGTCCCAAGAAGGAATTGATGTCTCTTGCCCCATATTCTAGCCGAAGGTATGTAGAAGATCCCAACGGCTCCTACGCCCATCAGATAGTACCCCGTCAGAATCGCGATCTCTGTAAATGGTAGCTCGAAATGTAATGACAGAGTTAGGGTATTCGCAGCGAGGATGGGCCCCAGACAGGTTGCGAATATCGAAACGACTGAGAGGACAAGAAGGATAACATCACGCTTCCATAATGGCCAATTCTAAATACCATCAAAGGAATCAGTAAGAGACATGTCTTCCCGCGTTGGATAGAAGACTATACCAGTGGATCCCTGGGGTCATCGCTAGGTTGCGGGACGAGAATGATGGGAACGGGACCCGATGTATCACACTTCAAGCCGGCAGATGCAGCACTTGCGACTTGAGGTCTTTCGGGGTCGTCAAAATATCTAGTGGTGCCTTGGAATAATCAGTACAAGGTAGATGTCTGATTGAAATAACACCAAGTCCTACCAGGAACATGTTCCATCCTATCCTCTAGAATAAGCATCCCCATCTTTGATAGATAAGGAAGCTCTCTTGTTCATGAATGTAAGTCCAGCAGCGAAATAGTTTGTACTGGTTGGGCTTAGTGATGGGAAGTCCTTCTGTCCTACTCTCGCAATAGTTTGGTGTCCATTCCTAGATTTTTTGGTTGTGCTTACGGACAAGGCTGAAATTTGGAAATGCGATTGGTGATACCCGTGGACGACTATAACTTATTATTGGGGGTTCATGGGAGATGTTTGGGGCTAGTGCTGTGGCTAAAATGATTATCGGCTCGGGCTACCTAGATAAAGGATGAGATGATTCATTCGGTAGGTAGAGTAGGTACCTACCTAGATAGGTATGGTTAAGCCTCGTAAGCTTAAAGATCAATTAATATTCCAGGTTATGATCAGTCCAAAAAAAAAAAAGGGTCAGAGTGGCTCGAGAATGCTTGCGGGGAACGTTGAACATGGGGTTGTTATCCCTACCTACCTAGGTACCTAGTAGGTATAGCTAATAAGTTCCTTTCCAGGTATTCATTAAGGTGGACAAAGAACAAGGAGGACGAGGAAGAGGAAAAGTATCTTTGCTTGGTAGATAGATAGATAGATAGATAGATAGGTGATAAAATAGAAAATCAACGTTACATAAAAATATAATTAATTTTACCGTAAATATCGACAATATTTATTACCCAACTTGGCTATGGATTTGAACAGACACTATCTCGCAGATTTTAGGAGCAACTGCCCAAGGGTTTATTTGAAATGAGACCTATCAACTGGACGTGAAAGCTAATGATTTACTTACTAGTTCCGAGGTCTGTGGCATAGACTCAATATTGATCACAATAGAAAAGAATACCTACCTACCATCTATTCACCTAGCAGGTAGCTATCTAATACGGATGAGGCAGTACTAGGTAGGTATTGATATCGAGCTCATTCGAGTCTTGCCATTGCCGTCTTATCTTGTCAGCTAGCTACTTATACTTCCAAGGTTTGCCAAAACTTTATATAAACTTTAGGGTCGCAAATGAAAAATACGAACCTAGAGCCAGGAGATACTGCAATTGAAACTTCAACCGTGATTACCTTCATTTCTTAATTTTCCATGTATCCATTCAACGATAAGAAAAGAAAGTCAAATAAATTCGTGAATTCTCTGGCTGTGATTGTCATTTTGAGTTTGTTGTACAAAAAGGTTTTAGCAGGGGGCAGGACCGATGCCACTATTGCTCAATCGCGAAAAAAAAATATGGTGGTGGCTTGCACAAGTTGTACTCTGTATGGCTTGATTTTATTTAAACCTGGATGCTACCTCCTCTTGGAGAAAGACTGTGACCTTAAGAGTTCCCTTCAATCATCCATCTTTCAGCCCAGTCTGTGCTAATTTCCTCTCATTCTGCCAAACCAACTCAATCAATTCGACAACTCACCAATTGAATCATCTATTGTCGTCTTGTTTTCTTTCTCGAAAACATGAAGACTAATTCCGTCGTGATTGCCATCACCACAGTGCTCGCAGGTTTCGCCTCGGCACAGAATGGACTCCCAACCTGTGCAGTGAGTTTGGATAAGCTTTTCTTTCCATCGTTATACCAATCACCCTTATCTCTGGTTCAGCCGTGTGTCAATATGTCGTGCATCATGAAGCCAGCTTGCTGATATCGATATTCCATGTAGCAATCGTGTGTTACCCAGTACACGACGGGCTCTCAGATCGCTGGTTGCACCAGTCTGGACATCGCCTGCATTTGCTCAAACTCTTCATTTCTGAGTGGCATCGCGTGTTGCTTGGCCGACGCTTGTGACGCCGAGGATGAGCAGACTGCAGTTGCTTATGCCCAAAATCTATGTAGAACTTCGGGCGTAACCAATCTGCCATCAGTAGTCTCGTGCGCATCGTCCGCTAGCTCGACCTCGTCCGGCGCCGCAAGCAGTGCGACTGGAGCGACAGCCACAACAAGTTCAGGTTCAACTACAACTACGGGGACGGGCACAAGTTCATCAAATACAGCAACTGGATCCTCGACGTCTGCGTCAGCTTCCGCCACAAGTAACGCGGGACTTCAAAACGAAATTGGTGCTGGAGCTGGCTTGCTTGGTGGATTGGCAGTAATAGTCGGTTTGTTGTAAGGGATTACACAGCATATGACAAAGGGGTGCGGGCGGGATCGCTTCTGATGCTGCAATCATGATACGTTGACATACGGGGTCAAATCTAGGTTTGTGGAGCATGATCCTGTGTTTATATTAAATAATTGGTACCTGAGACCAAAGCACTTGCTTCCCGGAAGACAACTGGGGCCTTTCAGGGGTAAGAAGAATGCTGCCGAGTTAGTTCACTTCTAGTTTTCCACACATAATACATCATTGCTATGCTTCCAGAAGCTGAATGAATTAATAATGCTCATGTCAATTCGCAAAAGAAAGAATGATTAATATGGTTTATGAGTATGTGGGCCATATCAGCATGTGAACCACTTTCACTTCAATTTACACTTTTCTCTTTCAATACACATTTTATCAACAATTTAACGTGATTCATCACTGAATGGATCATATCACTAAATGAATTACTTTCACCTCAATTAATACTTTCGAATTCATATTATTTAATAATCATTAATTTAATTAATTAAGCTATTAAGAATCTAATAATCTAGGATTTATTATATCAATTTAATAAGTTCTTATATTATAACCTATCTTTCTATAATTATTATAATATTAATTAAAAAATATTTCTCTATTAAAATTCCCTTTATTTTAATATTTATTATATCAAATTTAAATATTAATTTTTTTATTAAAATAATATATTTGTAATCTTCTATCAAATAAATACTTCTTTTTAATATATTTATATCTTTTTTGTATATTAATATTAACTTAATATTTTATTAGCTTTTCGAAATATATAATTTTTTATATTTAAAAGTATATTCTTATATACTAATCTCTTTATACTTTTAACTAAAATTAATATAATCTCAAATAAAGATATAGGAGAGTTTGATTAATAATAAATTATTCGAGATTTAATTAATATTAATTGAGAAAGAGCTTTTGTAGGATTATAAGAAGTTTGAGAGATTTAGAGATCTAAATTGAAAGAGGGGGAAGTAGATATATGAATTCGAATATTTAATTTAGAAAGTATTGTTTTAAGATTAAATAGAATTAATTCTATTTTTTGAAATTCAGTTTTTATATTCTTATTTGTAATTGATTATTAATATATAATTTTGAAAACTATAAAGAATTCAATCTTTAAAATATAATTGATATATATTATTAAAAGGAATAGAAGTTACTGGTGCTAAGCATGTATAGTGATTAGTAATACGGTTACCTAAACGGGCTAGATTAAACAAATTATAAACAGGTATATTGATCCCTTTATATAATATTATAAAAGGATTAATATGCTTATATGTATAGTAATATAATTAATACAAAGGTTTTTTCTATTTAATTTTTTAATAGATTATGAGATTTAGTTAGTATAATCTTTAAATATAATTGATATAATTATTATTATAATTCAATTTGTGGAATTGAAAAGTATGTAATATTATTTTATAATTAATATGCGGTGCTATAATTATTACTATTATAATTTGTAGAATTAAAAGAGTATATGGTATTATTTACAAATAAATATATATATAGTATAATAGAAAGTATGTGGTACTAATTATATTTATATTTATAATCTATGTGGATTTATTTATACAAAAAAAAGAGAAGAAAACTTTACAAATTTTTTATATAAATATCAAAATAAATAAAACCAAAGAGTAACAAAAAAACATTCTAAATCTTATTTAAGAGATTTATAATTAATAATTTTAATAAATAAAAATACAATGAAAAAAAAGAATTAGTTTTATATAATTGAATTTATATTATAAGAATATATTAAAATTGGAAAAATTGAAATAAAAGTTGATAATATCAAAGTTTTTTTGATTCTTAAAGGAAATAAGTTATAAATTAAATTCAATTAAATAAAAAAGCCAAATATTTGAAAAATGAAATTAATATTATATATATAGAGATTATTTAATAAAATAATAAATGTTTATTAATAAATATAATATAATACAAATATTATAAAATTATTTGAAATTAAAGTATTTAAAAACAAATAATATTATAATCAATTATATTTAGTAATAATTCAATATTTATTTTTAAATTTATTAATTATCTAGAATAATTATTATTAAAGTCTAAAATAAATTAAAAAAATATCAATAATTTAATTTATTAATTCTATCTAAGGATTTCTATAAAAACAAAACTTTATTTTTAATTCTAATTAAAAGTTTTTTTAAATAAATATTAATATAATCAATATTATAAATATTCAAAATAATATAATAAAAAATAAAATCAAATATTTTATTACTAAAAAGTTTAATATTTAAGAAATAAAATAAACTTATATTACTAACAAAAAATATATAATCCCAAATTAATAAAAAAAAAATAAAAAATCAAATCTATTAATATAACAAAATTAAAATGAAATAATTAATACTTATATTTACTATTTCTATAAATAAAAAAATTACTTTTTATATAATTATAAAAATCTTATATTTATATAAATTTTGATTTATAAATATTATAAAATTTAATAATAAAAAGTAATACTTAAAAAAACAATAAAAATATTATTTTCTAAAAAAAAAATTATCAAATTTATTTTATAAATAATAAGAGTTTTTCAATTAATTTTGATTTATTAGAAAACAAAGAAGAATTTGATAATGAAAAATATTATATTTCTAAAGAATTTATTTATAAGATTATTTCTTTTTATTGATATATAAATGTTAATATTTCTTTATATATATTTAATTAACTTTCCTTTTTTAGAAATATCAAAAAAAAAAACAATAAAAGTTAATAAAAAAATTATATATTATAATTAAATAGATACTACTATAATAGAATTAGAAATAATAATATAATTTTATTTTCAAAAATATTATATATATTAAAATTAGAAATCAATTTTTTTTTAATAAAAAGATTTATAAAACTAAATTCAAAAACAAATTTAATTTAAATTATATATACTTTCAAAAAAATGAAATAAATATTATTAAAACAAAAATGAATAAAGGAATTTATATAATTTCAAATATTACAAAAGAATATAAAAATATTGCTTTATAAAATATAAAGATTATTAATAATATTAAATCAAATAAAATCACTCTAGATATTTTCTCAAATAAAATCAAAAAGAATCTAGAAATTTATTTATTATAATATAAATAATTCAATTATCTTAATTTAAAGAAAATACGGAATCTCTATAAAGTTATAATATTAAAAAAATTAATCAAAATCCTATTTAAAATTCCTATATATAAAATATATATGTTTTATTAAAATAAAGAATTTAATTCTAAAATAATTTAGTTTTAATAAAATAAAAAGATTAGAGTTTATTCATTTTGATATTATTAACCCATTTCCAAAATCCTTATAAGAAAACTATTATTTCCTATTAATTATAAACAATTAAATAAAAGTAAATTAGATTTTGATTTTAAAAACAAAAAACAAAATTATATTAAAATTAAAGAAATAAAAATTGAATTAGAATTTAATATTAGTAATAAAATAATAATTATTCGAATTAATAATATACCAAAATTAATTTAAACTATTAAAAAATAAAACTCTAGAATCTAATTAAAATTAATTACCATAATATCATTTTATTAAAACAAAACTATTAAAAGAAATATTAATACTATCAAAGCCAATATAAAAACTATATTAAAAGAAACTAAATTGCTATTAGAATTTTAAAATAAAACTATTGAATATAATATATACTATAGAAATAAAATGAATGCTAAACCAATTATTAATAATAATATTATCAGTTTAATTAAAATATTTTTAAAATTAATCCCAAATATCAATTATTATAGAATATAAAAAAAGTAAATACTATATATATATTAATTCAAAAATAATTCTAAAAGATTATAATATAACAAATTATAAAATATAATTTGAATAAATATTTTTATAAATATTTATATATTATTAATAGATATATCAAAATATATTTACTAAAATTAGATTATATTATATAAATAAGTTAAATAATTATAAATAAATCCAGAAAAAGAAAAGATTTAAATTTAAAAATAAAAAAATTCATATTAAAATCTCAAAATATAAAGAATATTATTTTTAATAAAAATTTAAAAAATAGATTTTATAAAATACAAAAAGTATAAGAATTTTTATTTAAATTTCTACAAAATATTATTACTTTTGAATCCCTGAAATTGTAATTCCTAATATACCTAAAATCAATAATATTCAAAAATTTAATAAAAAAAATAAAAGAAATATTATAAAGATTAATTTATTTATAAAATCAATTTTATTTTTAAAACAAAAAGATAAAAATATTAAATAAAATATTTAAAATTAATAAATCTTTAATAGAAATTTTAATTATATTTATAAATATAAATCTCTTTAAAAGATTTTTTTTTTAAAAATATAAATAAAATAATAATAAATTAAATAAATATATTCAAAAACTAATAAGAATAATAATAATAATATTTTTAGTAAATCTAAATAAAAATATTATTGAATATATTATAATTTTTATATTTTTTATATCAAAAATCAATCTAAATATTAAAACAAAAATATCCAAAAATCTTTAAATAATTTAGAAAGCTTGATAAACAAAAATATAATCTTTTCTACAAAACAAATCCTAAAAATCTTTATTTCTATTATATATAATTAAATAATTTTAGACTCTGAATATAATAAAAAATAAAAATAAGTTATTTAAAAGAAGATTAGTTTATTAATTGAAAATAATATTTGAAAAAAATATATTTTATTAAAAAAAGAGAATTTTATTTTAATAAAATAAATATTTATAATAAAAACAAAGAATAATAAAATTAAAAAATTTAAAGTACAATTAATAATAAAAAATTTTAATTAAATTTATAGAAAAAATTATAATAAAATCTTTATTTTTATAATATAATTTAATATATTTTGTTTATTTTTAATAATTATTATAAAAAAAATTGAAATACTAATATTTCAATATAAAAAACATT